AACTTGTTTTTGCAAATTTCTGTATCCACTGTGGGTGCCAGCAAGAATTTCCACAACCGTCCATCTTATACAGAATTTCGTTTCAAATGAAAAAAAAAATCAATAAAGAAACTTTTTCAAACTATTCTCACTAGTTATTCGATTGTGATAATCGTCTATAAATATTAGTTGTTTAGATCAGTATTATGTTCATATTGATAAACTCAATAAAGTAAACATAATTTATTTAGTATTTTAATTAAAATTGATCGATTCTCTATTTTTGAAGTTTCAAATTTGGACTAATTTATTTTTATCGATTTTTTCTTTTAATTCTTCTGCAATGTGAAAAACGTCTGACCATTGTCAAATTCACCAATCTGCTGAAAGGTATTTCCGAAAATCGGTTATCTGTGATTAAACGTAATCAGATATTTTAGAGATTAGAAAGACGTTTTGTTTTGGCTTCAAAAATGATTGAAAAAGTTATCGGGGACTTTAGTTTATTGGATTTTATAATGGTCGGCGAGAGACATCAATAAACTCGTAGTTATAAATAAAGATTCTTACATGTAAAGGTGTCATTCATAAGATGAAATTTTCCGCATTGTGAACCACGACATGCATTTATTACAAATCTTTTGCTGTAAATTTTAAATCATTCGAAAACTGAATTTAACTACAGTATCAGCATATTCGGATTTCTCGTGCCAAAAAAACCCCACTACACCTTTTTACTGTATTAGATTTTACTGAATTTGACTCTTCGATTAAAAAAAAAATCTTTGTACATTCCGGAAAAAAATGTTGTACAGTAAAGTACACATCTTGTACAGATGATTAGGGGTATTGATTATAAAAAATACGAGGTCGCGAAATTTTGAGTACTAAGTGCATACTGCATAGCTGTAAAAATATTAAAAGATTAATGTATTAAAATAAATTGTTTTTTTTTTTTATTCGTGCAACCATATGATTTTATTTGACTTACGCATAATTATGAACAAATTGCGAGAAAAAAATGGATTTATCGATACAATTAGTTGGTAATAAAACTTACGACCTATAAATCTATTGAAAATATCGAGAGGAGAGTATGTTTTTATTCAGACATTACTCAGCCATAAGCGCTGAATAACATACTCTCTTCTTGACATATTCAATAGAAATAGAATTAGACTTATATTTATATTATTTTCCGCATTGAAACGATTTTTGCCACTTGATTTTTGAATTGAATAATTTAGCTCCGATCGGAATTATCAAAATATTTGTGAATTTGGATATCTAAAATACTAAAATACTACACGTTGAAGAGCCAATCGATAAATGTCACAATTTTTGTCATTTCATATGAACAGTCTGCTGAAAGTCTGCAGAGATTAACTAATTACTATGTTGGAACAATTTTTCGATTGTTTTACTCGGATTTAATTCTTTTGAGATTAATTCGAGTTTTTTGTGACATACGTTCAACAGTTCCACTCCATCCAATAGATTCGAATGGCTTCAAAGCAGTGACTTCAACATTTCCATGTTGACAGAAAGACATTTCGTTAAGTGATTTGAATTTTGTGCAGTGTGGAAGTATTTCGTCGATTGTAATGTTAATATTCATGGCAAATTTTAGTTTCTCAAGTAATGGCAACGAATTAGCGATTCTTGATACATTTATTCTGGAATTTATAGCATGTTCATGTTTTATTGCATGCAACGTTAAATTCGTTAGATATGGATGTTTTTCAATAAATTCGTATGAAAAATTGGTGAGTCTTACATTCATTGCAAACACCAATACTTCAAGTTTATCAATGGCAAATGGGATTTGAAATGATTCTGCGCTTGATTGTATGTAAATCTCAAGCGTTTTGAGATTTTTAAATTGTATCAATTCACCGTTAGCTTTTGAATTGAATTCCTCGTCCATGCTAAGTCCCAGGAACTCTAAATTTTTTAGACTGTTGTTGACACTTTGAAGAAAATTTGCGTCGAAAAATGAATTATACTGCTTAATGGTTAGCTGTTTCAATTGTGGATTCAAATGAATAGCTGCTGTTAAACTTTGCTTCAATGAACGTGTCTCAATTAGATAGCGATCCGAATGACGAATATGCAATCTTTCCAAGAATGGAAAGTGATTTGCCATAAATTTGAATGAACTTGTAGGATATAGTATCGAATCAGTTATTGACACGAAAAATTCTTCCGTTCTTGGAAATATAGCATTAAAAGAATTGTTTTCAACCAATTCAGTAAAATCACAATCAACCATTTGAAGCTTTGTTACATGTTTGAATTGTTCTTTTAAATATACCGGTACATTTTTAAGTTTGTTAAATTGAATAAGAGTCGAGGATTCAGTACAATATTCATTTAAATATTCAATTGCACGCAGAGTTAGTTCATAATTATTTATGCCAATGTCATCTAGATCGTCATCAACAATTTTATAAACACCTTTGTACGAAATTAATATGTTTTTTATGAGATTGCCGAAACAGCGTAGCAAACGTAAGCTTGACATTAAATTACAAAACTCGATACGAGAATTCGGTCGGAACTGTAGTGATCGATTTCCTGGTACGATATTTAAATGAATTAACTTGGTACTATAGCTTCGATGATAAATAAACGAAGCAGCCCGATTTAAACGTTTATTTGAAGCAGCTGCATTCAAAAGATCATCGAGTTTTAAATGCTCTAAACAGCTCTCGATACAATCGATATTCATATCGGTGAATTTCATTTTTCGTTTCAACGGAGCACACACATCCCCTGCAAAAAGTAAATTAAAAATTAAAAACTTTTACTATTTTATCGATAAATAGTTATAAGCACTAATAACAACAGAAGTACATACCTGAAGAAGTAGAAGTTCCTTGCATTTTGTTACGATTTTGTAAATACACTGACTCTTATACTCAATAAATCAATTTTTAGTCAAATAGAACTTTTTATTTTATTTAGTCTCAAGCAAATGTAAAATTATCTTGATAAAAAATGTTTTCAAGTGTTCAGAATAAATGTAAAACTATGTCATCACACCAGCAACTTTGAAATACAACTGAATAATTAAAAAGATATTTCTCAAGTGGCTCTGATCATTTTTCTATTGATTAGAAAAAAAGGGAGAAACGTTTTCAGTGGGGGTATCATTATCATTAGCAAGTGTGAAACTCATTAAGAAGATATGAACAGGTAAAAATGGTCGCAAAACAGTACCTTCAACTGTCAAAAACCATTTGTGTGCACTGCAAAAAAAGGACAGAAAAAATGGCAGCACTGCATTGGATATAGCTATTTTTCACCCAAATAGGTAAACTGCCCAACCAATACATCACAATGGATGTGTATAATATATAGGAATAGGTAAATTTGGTTGAAAAACCAGAAGTAAAGTTGGTTTGCAAATTTTTCTGTCAAGTTTATGACAGTGTGGCTTTTATTTGTATGATGAATAAAACGCAATTGTTTTGTTTTAAATTGATTTAAGTTTTCAGAGGTTGGCAATGAGGAATATTTCAACCACTTCTTAAAAATAAAAATAAGATACAGAAAAATAAGTTGAGTTGACCTTTTTGTTGAATATAGAAATTTGTTTTTTTTTTCTGATGTACTCTTACACAATGGTGATAATGTTTTTACTGTTGGTAAGCCTAAGAAATACTTCCAAAATTATGGGCAAAAAATTGGTTTGCTCAGAAGATACAAAAAACTTGAGACATGTCATACTGAAGTTCAATTATTGAACCAATTGGTTAACCTTTGTGCTCAATACTACATATTGAAAGATATCGAATACAATAAATTTTAATTTAAAAAATGACGTAGTTGCTTTTCATACTGATTTCAATATTTTGATAAGATAAAGTAAGGTGAATGATTATTAAAAAAGTCATTGTCAGAAATACACCATGTGAAAATTGGCTAGTCAAATTTGGTTCATTTTTTTGCACAGTTCCGTAAGATTGAAATTCCAATGATAATTTGAAATTTTAGTTTTTCTTCAGAAAATCGATCGCGAAACCACTACTTTGCGGAATTACTATTCAAAATTCTGCAGTGTACTTTTGCTGTCTTTCTTTTGTCTCTCAGCAACAGAGACACACAGAGATGTTCTGCAGCCCCCAAAAATAGTCAGCTCAATATACCCTGCTTATTAGATTTTATTATGTGAAAATAGTTGATAAAAATGCTTTGTTTTCCATAACTGACATTTATGATGGAATTGTACGGAATTGTATGAGTCTCTTTTTTTAATCTGTGCATATATATATGTTCGTTTCAAACAACATTACGTTTGAGCAACTATTCAGCGTAAACTCTATATTCTGAACTATTTAATTTATATATGTATGTCTATATGCGTTTTGTCATTTTTATGACGCCAGAGACTGAAAAAGTCATTTTAAGTTGTATTATCACTTAAAATATATTCATTCAATTGAATTATGGAAGGTTCTACTATAAAGATAGCTATAGAGTTTGTTGTTCTCTTTCCAGAGTAACAATGAAATAAGCATCAATTTTAACGCCATCTTAGTGTTGAACTGCGAATATAAAAATAATTTACTCGCGTATCAATAAATGATATACTTTGACGATAGTATTTGTAAATGCGTTGCTACCAATCATTCATGTTCATGTCTGAAGATGTCGCTTATTTTTCAACAACAAAATTCCATTCATGAGCTAACATTGTCCTATCTGTAATCATTCAAATGGCTGATTACAATTATATAAATTGTGGAGCAGACATAAGCCTTAGAACCGTCCACACGCAAACGGTCAGTATTTCATTGGTTTTGGCAACGATCAGTCGTTCGTTTCAATTGAGTTAAGCCATAGTCATTGTGTCTCAGGCAAATTTATTATTTAAGTAAATTCATTCAAATGCTACGTCATAATAAGAAAAAAATAACGCAATTCAATGTTTTACGAATTTAAACAGAAATGACATTTGACAAAATAAATGATCTAGTTACATAATACAAAACAAACGAATGGACAGTGTTGAAATCTGTAAATAAAGTGCATTAATCTAAAATTCCGTTTACGCAATTATGATTGTATGCAATTGACATTACTTCTTTGTATGAAGTGAACGACAAGTGTATCTCTCGTTTATTGTTGTCATCGTTATGATTTCACGTGTATACTGTTTACTTCAATCACATTCAAATTTCAAATAATTTCCTAATTAAAAAAAATTAGCTCAAAGTGTAACGTCTCGTCGAAGACGTTTGCGTTTGCTATTTTTGTGTGTACTTTTCATATTTTGTTCATTTGAGGAAAAAAAAATATAACAAACTAAATGGACAGTTTCAGTTGTGGAGTTTCATGTTGGCATCCACATTGGATGAAAAAATTTGCAAACACACGATGGTCTGTATTTTTACACATTTTAGTTCATGAATAAAATCATTCTAAATGTCTTATTATCTTTTTGTGATAGGTTTATGATCACGTATGGTCTACTGGGTACAATTCAGTCTACTAGTTATTTGTACTTTGTTATAACATTAACCACCATTGAAAAACGTTTCAAAATTCCAAGTCTGACCACAGGTGAGATATTTTTCTTCTAAACAATTACTTTTTTTTAAAGACAAAGTGCGATAGAATTCTTCTGAAAATTTCTAAGAAAATTTGCATATTTTATGGAGATAAACTTTAACATTCAATGTGCAGTTCAAAAAAAAAAAATCACCACACCTTAAAAACCAATATGATATTGTCTGACCTATATATAACACATTTCATATATGTTTCATTATTTGCAATATAAAGGTGAATCAAATGCAATTTCATATAATCTTCAATTATATGATTTCGAAATCGGTTCATTTATAGACATTTTATCGTGTCTGAAGTGTGTGCTCTTCACATTACATTGACGATAACAATCATGGAAAATATTTCTTGATATTGCACTTTGTTTAAATAGATTTTTTAATGCAATCTATTCCACTAATGTATCCTTCATATGATTTTAGGAATTATTTTAAGTGGCAATGAAATATCGCAGATTTTATTATCATTAATTCTAACATATTTCGGTGGTCAGAGAAATCGACCCAGATGGATTGCGTGGGGAGTCGTTTTTAGTGCTTTATCATGTTTCATATTGGCGGCGCCACATTTCATCTATGGTGCCGGAGACGAAGCCTATTCATACACTGAAGAATATTTAGCCGATCATAAAGTTTGTTGAACCTGTTAGAAAATGATATTTTTAATTCGAAATTTTATTAAATCCAAACTTGTCTTTATTTACTCGTTAGAATGTCTCCGCAAAAATTTTCTCAAAAACCGATTACAAGGATAATAAACTGTGCAAAATGAGTACGAAAAAAGTAGATGAATGCGATGAAGATGTGTTTTCTTATGTCCCATTGGTGTTGATATTTTTATCACAATTCGTACTCGGCATCGGTAATACATTGTATTATTCACTGGGACAATCATATTTAGATGATAACACCAAGAAAAATAACACACCATTGATGTTATCGTACGCATTTTCGATGCGAATGTTTGGTCCCGTCATTGGTAAGATAAGATCACCAGACTCTTGTTATAAGAAGTGTAACAACATATTTCTAACAAAAACAGGATTTGCGCTCGCGTATGGAATGTTAAAAATATACATTGATCCAACATTGACACCCGTCATTCCAAAAGACGATCCTAGATGGATGGGTGCCTGGTGGCTCGGTTGGATGATTTTGGGTTTGTTGATGTTTATATTTGCTGGTTTGATTGGCATGTTTCCAAAGCATTTGCCAAAAAAGATAAAAGTCGTTGAATACGAAATTGACGGCGAGAAATGTAATCAAAATATTGAAGTGATTGATAACAAAAGCGAACTCAAAGGTAACACTTTTAAAATACCACAAAAGAAAAAAAATTGGAAGCTTTTGTTCAATTTCGATAACATTTTTTTTTACAGATTTTCCGAATGCGTTGATGCGTCTCTTAACCAATAAACTATTGATATACAATAATATTTCAACAATATTTTACATCCTGGGTGCATCCGGTTTTATGATATTCATGGGCAGAGTTATGGAGGTTCAATTCAATCGAACATCAGCTGGTGGCTCTATATTTACGGGTCCTATAACGATAATCGGCATGACAATTGGGCTTTTGACGTCTGGTTACGTGATTACTAAGTTTAAACCGCCACCGAAATATCTATTCTTTTGGAATGTGGTAATTGGTTTGATTTCAATGTGTGCCACACTGTCGTATACTCAATTAGGTTGTGAAAGAAACAATTCTGTGATAGTAAATGGATCAATTGTATCGTGTAATTCAAATTGTGAATGTGATGGCATTACGTACAGTCCGGTGTGTGATCATTCAACTGGCACAACATTCTATTCACCATGTCATGCTGGGTGCACGACATTCGACGAAACACGAAAACTTTACACAAATTGTTCGTGCAATGCTTTAAGTACAACCGCTTCCATATCAACGCTGACCGGATTTCTAGCCAATGAAATTGTAGTGAAAAATACAATGTTAAGTAGCGGTTTGATTTCAAACGAAAAACGCATTACACTGGAAGATGTTTATGATGAAGAACTGAAACTAAATAAACCACCACATGACGATGATGTTCCAATCGATCAAAATCATCTTTATGACGAAAATCATCAGATCTATGAGGATAGTGCCGATTATGTGGACAGTTCCGAAAACGATGCATTTGTAACAACAGAAAACACACGAAAAATTGAAGTAAATAAACGAAACCGTCGCGATGACATTTCTATAGAAACTCAGGCCAACAACGTTATTTCGCCTGGTGCATGCGTCGATCACTGTTATACCGCTTACTATGTGTTTTCATTAATTTCAATGTTCTCGAGTTTGATCAGTTCAACTGGCAGAATTGGGAATATTATGTTAAATTTTCGGTAAGCAAATTGATTTACTATTTAAGCGATAATGTACATTTTGTATATTAAATTCGTTTCAGAGCTGTTGAGCCACGCGATAAAGCCTTCGCCCAAGGTCTATCCCTGTTTATGGCTAGTTTGTTTGCATTGATACCAGGACCGATAATATTCGGACGGATCATAGATGGGACATGCTTGGTATGGAATTACAAGTGCGGACGACGAGGCAATTGTCAACTGTATGATCCACTTAAATTCCGATATTCGTTACATTCGTGCGCGGCGTTGTTCATATTCTTTGGTGCATTTTTCGATCTATTGGTATGGTATCATGGTAGAAACTTAGAGTTGTATGGCGAAAAACAAAAACCAATCGAAAAAGATAATTCACCCGAATGCCAGCCACTGAACAAATAATCTAGAGACAAAAACAACGCTTTCCATTTGTGTGTATAATAATTTATTGAGGACAGATTGTTTTTATTTATTTAAAATTTATCGATTTTAGTATATCTTATCTGTTCTGAGAATTTAATTTTTGAAAAATACATTTGTTCAATAAACTTGAGATCATACACTTTATTGATTGAAATTTTAATGTGTCATTTATCATAATATATTACTTTTGAGTTGAAACACGCAAAATTTATAAAATACTGTCAATTTTCCAAATGAAAAGTCGATTTGAACCATTCTGGCGATAAATCGAACCGAATCGAACAATGACCTGTTACCGATGTTTGTTGTTCATTTGATCAGTTCAAAATAATCTCAAGTATGAATAGATTCTTATCAATCGATTTGTGATGGTTTGTCTATCCAATATAGGACCTTTTATTTATTTTTGCACATTCCAAAATCGTCTGCAACAATGAATATACCGGATAAAGACGAGACAAATTGTAAACAAAAGCCATGATAAACATATACAGAAGGCGTTGAAAGAATCAGTTGATAATACCGTTAGAGAAAATTCACAAACACAACATAACAATGACAAAAGAATGTTTTCTATAAGAGCTCATTCGTTTATAACCTTTCGACGCCATTCTTATCAATATTGCAAAAAAAAAAAAAAAACTCATTAACATTCATTTTGTTGATGTGCTTGAACGATGCGTCATAATGCAGAATTTTAGCACTGTCACATTTTCTCTTTTTTTTTTTTCCTTTCTTCTTCTGTTTCTACATCCTTTGCATATTGAAAAAAATCATTAGGTGAAAAAAATCTACCTGAAAAATGGTTCTGGCAAAACGGAGCAATCGTAGTGTACTGCAAAAAAACAATGCCAAATAAATGAAAGTAACAATGAGTAAATGTGAATGATCGACTTTTTTCCCCCCAAATGCTCGAATATCGTTTTAAATTTCCAGGAATGATAAAATTAAATCTCTGACGACAATAATGAAAAAAGCATCATTTGAAAGTATTAACCAATCGTTTCGTTATTCAAAGCATTCGGTTGAATTTCCATTATGTGTGAGTGTTCGTACTTTCTTCGGGTAACTATGCTAGTTTATGATAGAGAAGTTTACTTTCGTGTGTCAAAAGTAAGGGAGTGTGTGTTATATAAGAGATGCACCAGAAGTCTTTTGACAATCATCGATAAAGGTTGTCTTGTGAAAAGTGGCAAAAACTATGGAAGAAATTGGAAACGAGTATCTTGGAAGAAATGTGAAACGACAAATTTGTGCCGCTCTTATAGGTAAATTCTTAAGCAAATATTTTTGAAATGTGTGAAAATAGTGTTTTTTTTTTGTTATCAAAGTTGTGTAATTCTTTATCAAAAATTCAATATTGTGAAAAATAATTTTCTTTTTTTTTTTTCTTTAAGCAAACACTGTGCTTGTTGCGCATGGATCTATATCGGGTTGGCTTTCGCCAGCCCTCGACGTTCTTTTATCTGATGATACGCCGCTCATCGATGGTGAAATATCAAATGAAGAGTTATCGTGGCTAGGATCCATCAGCAGTTTGGGATCAATTGTTGGCACATTTATTTTCAGCATTTTATCATCGCTATTGGGTTGTAAACGTGCTATGATCTTCTTGGCATTACCATCAATTGTGTTTTGGTTATTAGTGTTTTATGGTGAATACCTTTTGCATCTATTGATTGCAAGGTTTATTATGGGAATGACGGCAGGTGGCATTCAATCTGGAATAATCATTTACGTTGCAGAAATATCAAATGATAATATTCGAGGACGTCTCGGATCGATAACTCCATTAGCACGTAATGTTGGTGTGCTGATTGCTTCCATTGTTGGTGCCACTGTTGATTATGGTGTAATCCCCGCTATTCTTATTTACATTCCAATTGTGTATATAATTAGTTTGTACTTTTTGCCAAATACACCTCTTTTCCACCTGAGCCGTGACGACGTAAAGGTATGTAAATTTTTAATTTTTATGCACAAATCAATTATTATTAAAAATATTTAAAAATTCAAATTTAGGAAGCAGAAAAGTCATTGATGTTCTACAAAGGTTATGAAGGGAAGAGCGAATGTGAACAACTTGCACTACAATTAGAGTTTGAGCGATTAAAAAACATTGTAAAAGCAACGAAAGCCAACGAAAAACTTCATTTGAAAGATTTTTGCAGTCAAACGGCCGTACGAGGACTTATTATAGGCGCTGCAATGGCATGGTTTTTACAATTAACGGGATGCTTTATTATTATAAATTATGCAATGTTGGTGTTTAAAAATGCCAACACCACGATGGATCCACACATTTCCTCCATTGTACTGGCCATCGTGCAAATTTTCGGCGGAATTTTGTCAACTTCATTGAGTGACACAATCGGACGTAAAGTGCTACTTGTACTCTCATTGTTGGGCTCTGCTTTTGGCCTAATCAGTCTATCAGCGTATTTATATTTAAATCACATCGGTTTTAATTTATCAAATTATTCAGCTTTGCCAGTGGCGTGTTTAGCTTTCGTCATTTTAACCGCATGTGCAGGTATCGCTCCATTATCAAATGTTTGTGCTGTTGAAAATTTACCACCAAAGGTATGTATTTGCTGAAGAGGTGTTATTGTTTTTTTTTTTTGCTAAATTGATATTTTTTCCTATTTTTACAGATACGAACACATGGTATGGTGCTTTATACGTTGTGGTACAACATAGTCAATTTTTTCGCCGATAAATATTTTCCGATACTTTTAAAGGGGATCCATTTGCATGGATGTTTGATGATATTTGCGGTCAATTGCTTTTTAGGTACATTGTTTGTGGTTTTCTACATGAAAGAAACTAAAGGACGATCACTAGAGATCTCAGAAAAATAGGGTTGCTCATTTAAGGAAGAATAATGTATAAAAAACACATTGTTAGGTAAAGAAACGAACTTAATTAATCCATACGAAGCCATGCAACAAGCAATATAATCACGGAAATATTTGCCTATTTTTGGGTTGAATGTCGCCTAGAATTAAGAAAAAACATAAAATAGATGGGCACTGCTAATTTATTGTATGATAATTACAATCACTTTATTATTAAAAGAATCACTTGTATTTGGAATTGAAAACAATTGTGTACACATAATAAAAATAATCTAAACCACAAAGAAATCAATTTTTGTATGGCTAATGACGTAAATGACTGCTTAATTCGGCTTAATTGTTCTAAATGATACCTGATTAGCCACCTGAACACTGAACCACTCATGTAGCTTTACTATGATCGTAATCTATATAAGATAAGCTCAACATACAAAAATATTAAATTCTATTAAAATATAATACTTGCATAAAAAATGTTACTAATGAAACTGAATATCTGAGGACAAAACTAAAGCAGCAAATCAAATATACGATTTTTACAAACATAAAAATTGTGTCTTTTACTTTTTTATTTTATCACTTTTCATTTTTTTAAATTATATGTTCTGTGGTACGAATTCAATTCTCGTTGTGAAAGAATTCGAGATGTATCTTAAATATAGATTTATTTTCTTTTGATAAAATACAAAAAAAAAATAACAGGTAATGTCATTAAGGAGTTTTTAATTTCTCTCCTACAATTTGTTTAGAATAAAACTTTAAATTTAAATAAAACTTAAGAAAAGAAATTTGGAATAAATGCAGTTGATGAAAAAGTGAGTCATATGTCTTTAAATGTGCTTATTTTGACTCTTACTCCTTTACAAATCAATATTCACAAGATAATTGACATTTCGAACTTACCATTCGTAGTATGCATAGATGCTTGTTAAGACACCAAATAACGCAACCATATATTATCCAGTTAGAGAGAGAGAGAGGCCAGCTTTGTTGAAACTTTAACGAGACACACACGAAGAGAAACGAAGTGTCCGAGCAAAAATAAACATATGAATCGATAATTTTAAAATTGTTTTTATTAATTGTTAGGTTCTTAAAAGTATCCGAATTGCTTAAGAATATTAAAATAAATGTGAATTAATCAAGCCTAAGAAAAAAGAATGCATTTGAACATAAATAAAATCTTTGACTTTGCTTAATATTAAAATTTGTCGACGATTCAATGTTGAATGTGAATCGATATAAAATCAATTTCGAATAGTATATAACCAAACTAAAATTAATATAATCTGTTCGGCACAAAGTTTTCGTTTATTATTTTCGGGATAAATTGACCATATTTCAAGTAAAATATTTCACTATCACTTTTGTTTCGTGGAATTAAACGATTCTTTCTAACAGTTCAATGGTGCACACTCCACACCAACTTCTGTACATCTACACTCCAGGCATGAGCTCGACAATTCGGCAATAATTCTACCAACACGGTACATTCTTCCGTATATATTACAACCGGCCAATTTCAGTAGACCGGCTGGATCTTTGTGCGGCGGTGTAAAGATTTTTGTTTCACTATTCGATTGGTGTTGTTTCAATTTGTCAACATCAACCGGATTCACTACATACGATTCAGTGTTTGCAATATTTGTATCGTCGGCCGGCAGTACTTGATAATTTTCCGAACTGAATTGATTTGTGTGGCTAAAATCGTTTGTTTGCTTATTCTTATTCAATTCGGGAATGATTAAATCAAGTTCAGATCGAATTGGATTTGCTTGGAAATTATGTTTGGATTCCAATGAATTTAAGCTCGAAAAACCCGCATTAATTCCAAATTTGTTTATTGGACGAGATAAGAACAGAGGTGATTTATGGAGTAAATCTTCAGAAATATCGCCAACATTTACAATTGGTGCTTGATTCAAGCTTGAGAGGAACACATCACGAAGGATCGTTAAGTTTTCGTTTTTCTCCAAATCGTCTTTGGTTGATGCGGGCATTTCGGTTGTTACTAAAATATTCATATCTTCTACCAAAGGTTCATCGGTCGGATCGATGATTTTATTATTTTTTCGTTGTGGTATTTCAACCTTGGTCGGGCTATCCTTTTTCGTGTTATTCAAAATTGTAATTAGCTTCAATGGAATGGAATTATTTGTTATGTTCTTCTGTGGCGGTTTTTGTGTAGAAACAGAAATTTGTGTGGTAGTGGTGGTTGAACTTATTACCGTTTTCGATGTGTTTGACGGTGCTGACACTTTTTGTTCATTGTCTGCAAATAGCATTCCGTAAAGTCTATTAAAAGAAATGTTATTCTCTTTGGAACCAACATTCGAGCTATTTTGCTCATTTTCATTTGCGATCTCATATTCTTCTGATTGTTTTTTATATGGTCCAAGAATATCGACACCTAAAAATGCATCATTGTACTCTTCGGTTGATTTAAAATTACTATCTGTTGTTATCGATATAATGTGTTTATCGTAATTGTTGGCTGTTTGATTTGATTCATCTGGATTCGTTTTTTCTTGAATACGATTCGGTATCTCTTCACTTACTATATCGGTTGAATCTGAAAATGAGAAAAACAAAACGATTAAACATTGGTTTATGTGCAGTTTTTCAGCAGATTCTTACTTTGAATTGTTTCGGTGTCGATTGGTTTGCTGCTGTCAATGTGATAACTGGATGCATGCAATGGAATATAATTTTCGCCTGACGTTCGTTTTGGTACAAATCCACCTAAAAATTTGAAAGAAAAAAAAAGATTTGAAAATCATTGTCATTTCAAGAATTGCCAATTGTCAGCCAACCTTCAGTTTGTGCAGGTGGTATGAATTTATTTTTGCTGCCATAGCTGAATACGGTGTCCTTATTTCCAACCGGTTTCCGTGATGGTTCCTTCAATGGTGGCATTGTTACAAAATGCGGTACATTATAATTGTGTTCGGATGGGAACTGATCATTCGAAATGGGACTGTTAACATTGTACTCGTTATAATTATTGGCTAGTTCGAGTTGAGGTCGCTGAGGTGGATTATATGAATTATATTCATGCTCTGGTTCAAATGGTGGCAACGGTGGTTTAACCGTCAAATTTTTATTCGTTGTCGGTGTAATTTTCGATGGAACCACTTTTTGGTCGGTCGTTCCATAGTCCAATTTTGAGTTGACACTAAGCGAGAATGACGATGGTTGAGCCAAATTTGTACCGGCATTTGCATATACATTTATATAATCCAATCCATCTCCATTCTCCGCCGGCATTTTATAGCTATCATAGTCAATGCGATCGTCAGCAATATTGTAGCTTGGATATTTTTCAACGGTCGGTTTGATATTAAACGGTGAGTATGCGATACTGTCCACATTTGCTTCAGGTCTTATGTATGAACTTGAAGCCGATTGATAGTAATTGTAATTTGGTTTGTATCCATCATTTCGGTGTATGATATTTTTTACACTCAACGCATCGGTAGGCAAGAATGGTATAATTTTCAAATTCGGAAGACTGGGCGGCAACGTTGGTTCGCTGTAATCATAATTTATATCGGTTTCAAGTATCGATGGATTTGAATTGATTTGAACCGCTGTAATTTTTGGGAGCATAGTCGTTGCCTTTGTAGTTAACGGTAGCAATGGTGATGCGGTGGTTGCCCTTTCCACAGGTTTGGTGGTCGTTGTTGTTTTCTGTGTGGTTGTGGTAGTTTTTGGCGTAGAAACTTTCGTTGTTACCCTCATCTTTGTTGTTGAGATAACCTTTTCTGTTGTTGAACTATGAACTTTCGTAATATTTTTTTGGTCTACTATAACTTTCGGCGGCTTTGGTTTAACAGTGAACGCAGATGTTGTCTTAATGTTCATCGTTGTAGTTTCGATCGGTTTGTGTGTACTAATATTTTCAGTTACGACGCTTTTCACACTAATATTTTCCGTTTTGTTCATTTTTTGCGTTTGATTGGAAACGTTCACACTATGTGGCATCACTTTTGTCACTTCACTTTTGAATGTTTGATTTGTGCTTTGAATCGTTGTTATTTGTTTCGGTAATTGAGTTGTAGTTTTAAAGACACTGTTGATAGCGGCTTGAACAAATTCACTTTTGATTGACGATGCTGGTAGACTACTTTTGATTTCTATGAATTGGGTCTTTAAATCTGATATGCCCAATGGATTAGATGTAACAATTTTTGGCGTTTCACTTGATCGATCGCCGTCAAACATTACGGTACCGTCATCTTTAACCATATTATAAAGTGAAATGGGCAACATTGAAAACTTAAGTGATTCATTTTTCATGCTATCGGGTAGGATCGGTTGGATTTGCATTGGAGAATTGGTCATTCCATTCGGTAGCGGTTTTCCGGTTACATTAAACACAAATGGTGGTTTCATTGTGGTTGAGGTAAATGCACTGTCGCCTTTCAAAAAAAAGTCGAGCAGACTTATTTCTTCTTCATCTTCATCATCGTCGTCGCCGACGTTGCCATCATCATCGTCACTGATATTGTAACTGGGTACATTTGGTACAGGTTGTATTGTTTGATCAGCGACATTTGTTTGTTTTTCGATATTTTGTTTGTTTTCCCCAACATAGTTTAGACTGTCTTTCAATACATCAAGCAGGCCTTTTTTGTTTGTTGCATTCACTTCGGCATTTATGGAGTCGGTTTCAGTCTCATAGTCCCATGATGATGATGTTGAATTCTCCTTATCTTCATCACCGAAAAGCAATGAAAAGAAGTCAGAATATTGCCGCGACGTGAATCCCCGGGCCGTTTTGTGATTTGAAATCGTTTCTAAGAATTTCCATTTGTTTGCATTACTATTTTGTATTTTGGGTGAAAAAAAAACGATATTTTGTATACTCACTACAGTCGTAGCTGGATGGACAACATTGATTTGGTGGAATGATCGGTCGACAGTTTCGTATCATTGGAGCACATTTTTTTGGAGCGCATCTTTTACTGCCGCCGATACAAAAACAAATTTCACATGGATTCGTTTCATTGGACGGCAACTTATGACCCTCCGGATAAAAAGTGGAGTTGATCAAACAACCTAGATTCAATATACATTAAATTCAACAAATTATAATTATACTAAAGTGAAATTTTGTATGTGTTTTTTTTTAATTACAAAACGGCAGCAGAAAAAGGATATTTCAAGAAAAGACGAGCAGGAGACATGGGTGAGATTGTTTCAAAACGTTCGCGTCTTGAAGAAAGTGAAGATGTGGTAATCAATGAACGCACTCACGGATAAGACAACCGTCCCATAAAATATTCAAATTGTGACGTCATGTAATCTGGCGCTGTGATCTCGTTTTTCTTATTAAAAATTAAAATTATAAAACGTATTTTGTAAAGTGTATATTACTCGATCGCGTTATATAGTCGTAATTTTATTTGAAGATTAATAATTTGCCGGGCTCTGACCACCTTCAATCATTTTGGCGGTGTATTGACTGTTGATCAAAAGCTATGGATTCAAATTGAAGTACGTGTCACATTTCAACGACTTGGAAGTGGACTAGGTTCGGAATGGAACATGAATTGGTCCAGTGATGACTGGAAAGAGAATTGCATCATTGTCACTAGCGTCAAGCTGGAGGTCTGATATCTTTATTATTGTAAGTATAAAATGAATTATTTGTTTTTCTGTTTATGCTTTTATATCAATATGGAGATATTAGTTATATTTTTTTTATCTCTTCATTCGTTATTTAATAAAAAGCGAAAGAAATCAAGTGAAAGAGAAGAAACCAAATGAAAGAGAACAACACAAAATGATGAACTGATGAAATAGAAGAGAACAAAGCGACCGAAACAATAAACACAAGGAAACAATGAAAATCCTGATTTTACTTTAATTGTTTAAATTTAGTATGGATATAAGAAACGGAACGAAAAAAGTAACTTATCTTTTTGGAAATAAAAATGAAATTAATTCAAGGAGTAATAGAAACAGAACCAAAACACAAAACTTATTTCTTAGAATATCAAGTGACATAATTTTGTTCAGTTAATTTCGCACATTCATGGTATATCGTATGGCAACACATACAAGTCAATTTGTCATTGGCCACTAGGCATGCCTTAAAGTTAGTTGTGTACAGAATGTGTATAAAGACGGACGATCGGATCAAGAGGAAATAATAAACGTGGAGTTTTTTTATATTATTATTTTTCTCCACAGAAAAAAAAGTATTTGTGTTTTTATTGCTTGAACCCATACACATGGTGATAACATATTCGCAACGTAATTGCGGTGAGACGATCGATGAAGTTTATCATATCATTTTACTTTGCGAAGAATATAACACCCATTATATTCGCTACAATTAGACTTTTAAGGATTTTTCATTCATTTTCATTTACATCATTTTTTTTAGACACTAAGTTTTATTCGGCCAAATGTTACACTTATTGTGTATTACCACGGTCAATTTGTTAAAAAAAAAAAAAAAACATTTTTTTTGGTACTAAATTACTGCCAACAAATCAAACATGTAAAAAAAGAATGAAAATGTATGAAATTAAAAACTCCGTTAACGCATATAATTTTTTTCTCAAGACAATTGGAGCCACCCACCTCGACTTCTCTGCATTCTTGATGTCATTCGTAAATAATGTTTATTATCGCTTCGTCGACGATTATACTTCGTATTGTATCTGGCTTTGATTGTTTTTTTCTCGGTGCAATCGTATCGAATTGGGCAACAAGACGAATCAATTAAAATTGGTTCACAGCCTTTGGCAGGCAACGTACATTTTGGTTGAATGCATTTTTGTTTTCCTTCGATACAATAACAATATGTGCACAACGATGAAGTCGTCATGGCAGAACCAGATCGATAAACCGTCCCATTGTATACGCACACTATAATTAAACAGACAAACAAATTATATGGGTCTTCATTTGACAAATTGAATGAATAAATACAAACTTTTTCCGTTGCTCAATTGTTGCTCGTCGTCGAAGTCCTCGATTTTTCGTTGCAATGCATTTTGGCTGAATATTCGATTTCGTATATTCTGTTCATACCATTTGCGATCGTGTGTTATGACTTTTTTCTCTTGATCTTTGTAAACCGTATGGAGTTTTGCACTGCATGACATGTACGGACAACACGAGTTCTTCTTCTGTACGATAACACACCCGCGAGGCGGTGGAAATACTTGCTCAGGGCACACACGCAAAGCACAAATCAAGTTTGCATTTATACATTTGCAATTCAGACAAGGCTCGGCCGTCGGCACAAACGATCCATTCGCGAATCTTGTATTATTATGAGAACATCCCAAAACTACATAGAACGAGAGAGAGAGAAGAACAAAGAGGAGCAAAAAATAATTTATAGTAAATTGCATCACTTGATCTAAACGGTAATGTGATCGAAACGAAAAGTAGGCTATTCAAGAAACGGAGTACCGAGCGTAGGCATCTTTTGTTATGTACGTGCAATTCAAGCTCTCACGGTAATCCAAATACATACTACATATATGAGTTAATAATCCAGTTAGATTATTATTTATTGTGAAGGAAAGAAAGCCATTGGTAGAAGAAGCGCATACATATGGTTCGCACATGCATCTGTAACGCAAACAAGCCGAAGCATTGAGTAAAACAGCATTAAACCTGTGTGTCTTTGCATACAATTCTATAATTATGAAAACTGGTCTGGAATAGCAGAATTAAGTCACCAGCATACCACAACCTTGTACCTTGATCGTCTACTTCTACCATGTACAATTGAATTGATATCGGCGCACGCGCCTGTTTGTGTGTGTTTGCGAGTATGATTTCATTTATTTTCGCTATTGCGCGTGCGGTGAGCTCATACATCAACAATATGATCCGTACACAATTCTGTTCCCATTTCACATTTAATTGACAATGGAAAGCACAAATTCGAAAGTTATCGGAGACGCAAACGTAAGAATATTCTGTGGGCCGTTCATTTTATGGCTCAACGAATAGATTTTACGCTATTATCACATTTAATACAATGAAATGTTAACGGCTTTTGTTCTTATTTGTTTCGATCACATATTGAATAGACTGCGATTGTCTCTTTAAAACATTTAAATTATGACCTACAAACATTTCGAACACCATACTTACCAGAATCAGTTGCATTCGTTAGACTGTAGCCATGTACATCGATATGATGCTGAACTAACAAAACAGTAACCACTATACTTATTATCAATTCCATATTTGCTCACCATACGCTTCTTGTGCAGTTAATCTGTGTATTTTGTATTTTAAATACGACGATTGGGCTTTAAAAAAAAGAAGAGACACAATTTACAAAATGTTGTTTTTTTTTCTTCTCAAAATCAAATTGTCTTAGTTCAACTATTTAAACATTTTTCGTTCTTCATTTTAAATTCCAAATTTATTTCAATAAAATAAAAACGCATCGATGTTTATGTTATGATGGGCGATGAATATGGCCACAAAAACCATAAGAAATAACATTCCATCTACTCTTTTTCTTTATTTTGGGTTCTTCTTCCGTTCCTTTCTTTTATTGTTCTTTAAAAAAAAGTGAGCATGTTTCATCTTTTTGTCTTTTGTTTTTATTTTATTTTTTTGTTATTTTCACTGTCGAGAATGTTTTGGAACTAACCAATCCGAACATTACTTAAAGCGATTTCTGTTTTCATTGTTTTTTGTTCGTTGTCAGAAGTTTTTTTGATGGATTTAATTTGATTAATTAAAGTGTCACTTTTACTTCGCTTAATATTGTTCACGGCAATAAAACCATTTTTTATTCCAAGAATTCAATCAAGAGAAACACAAGTTGAATGAAAAACTTATGGCCGGAAGAAAGAAACCACTTTACATTCAAACCGATAAAAATTGACGAGAGAGATAGAGACGAAGAGAGATAAAATTCTGTTATGTGTCAACAAACTATGGACGATTGCAACACGTAAAGCAATTTAAGTTTCATGTGTCAATGTTTCGTTTTATTTTCTAGGTTCATCTGATATTCGTGTCTCAGTCGCAGCAATTATGGTGTGATTCACATCAGACAGACAGTTCAGAAACGATTGCTTATTTATGTGATGCGATTTAGATGAATAGAAAAGCACTAGTTTTGCACAAAGATTCACACTCACTTGCAGTGAGAAACACACATACACACAATTTTTACGCAAAAGAAGTGTGATAAGTGAAAATTCTTGTTTTCTTTCAGGCATAAGAAAGAATCAAAGCGGTTCCGCACTGATGAGCATTTTTTTTATTATGCTAGTTTATTTTGCGTTAAGTTGAGGAAGATGTTCAAGCCATTCATTTAGTGTTTCTTTCGCGGTTATTTTTGCTTATTAAATTGCACATAATAATGAGATCCAGTGTAATTAAAGAAACAATTATTATTTTGTACAATGTGCTTGTCGCATCCGAGAAAAAAGTCGATTTTCCTTGTATTTTCTACTCTGTTCTCTTAATTGTTTGAAAGTATATACGGTTTTTTTTTGTCATTGACTCTCACACAATTGTGATGCGGGGAAAAAAGAATAATTTCTATTCGAATTCCATTAAAGAACTCAACAAAATCTCGTTCGCATTTTAATGCTCAATCCAATTTTCTTTATAATGCGCTGAGACATTTGACAATGAGAAGAGTTAAAATTAGAGTGGCTATTAGCTCTCACAACTCTGGCTTAATAAGTGTGATGATGTTTTTATGCACAAATTTATTCATGTTTTGTTCTGCTCTTTTGCTCGGTTTCACTTTTTCATTATTTCTTTTTTTTATTATTATTATTTCAAACATTAAATTGCCGACAAAGTCATGTTTATACCGAAACTCGCACGTAATCAACAATGATTTGATGTTGTTGGTTTTTCTACAGCAAAACGGGTTACATTTTTAAAAAAAGTTTTGCTCGGTAATAACAAAAGTTTTGTTAAATGAATCGTCTTCAGTTTGTATTTGATATTATTATTCCTAATAAAAAAAACACCCAATTAAAATCTATCAAATGTGTCGTTCATTCGATGAAATAAATCATTTTGCGGCCGAGCATTTAGCTTGTAATTAGGCGATCGATGCGTTTGGATCAATTATATTTTACAACTTGTTGGCATGCCAATTACATGAACACGTTTACTTACTTTGAAAAAAATAAAACTAACTCTACTTATGCAAAATAGCCAAGGGGTTCGTGTGAAATGATTAACACCAAATTATCAAATTGAAGATTATCCAATTCGTTTCACAGCTCGATCTTGACCAAATGGACAATGAACTATGAAATTTGATTAAAAATAACCGAATATTTGAATTCGGCAATGTAAACTAACGGTTATTATTCTTTTTTATTGGAATTTATGTTGGTGCGACGGTCATTGATTTTCATATTATGCAAAAGCACAACATAATAAAATCGATCGGTGTCAATGACACATATTTTGAATAGAACGATGAAAGAATGCTTAATTGATCGCAAATACATCAAATATTTATTTTTATTTTTCATTCACATGAGAAATTCTTTCTGATTTATTTCTTTTTTTTTTCTTCTTCTTTAAAATTTCGTCACTCGTTGCCTCGGCCAATGAAAATTGTATTTTCTTTCAAATTAAACTGACAAACTGGTATTTTCATCACATTAATTACTGCCCATTTTTATATGCAAATCTTATTTTACTTTACACATCACTTGGATCTCAATACTTCAGATGTATTCTGTTCGCTCGTCGAGTGTGAAACAAGCACTCACCATTTTTTTGTTGTTGTTATTTCGATTTTAATAAGCGATAAAAATTCAAATAGTGTTTCAAACGTTTGTTCTTTTCACTACTGGCACTATTGTTAGCGTGAATGGTAAAGCGTGTCCGTTCGCGTCTGCAGATATTAATCGACTAAAATTCAGTTAAGCCGAAGAGTTCTTAAACGGCAAAGAAGTGACGAGATTCAAAGGTTCTATAGCAACATTCCACTTCCACTTCAACTTCAACCAACTTTCAGTATGTACTTCGTGCTCGGTAGACGACCGTCTCTATATGCGTGCAGTTTTATTTTCTTTTCTTACTTATGTGGCTAATATATATATATATGTTTTTTTGTTTAAATATAAAATAAAGCGAAGAAAAAACCGAAGCAAAGAGAAAAATAAAGAGCCAACAAATCGACGGTGCGTTGATGTTAACTATTTGTCTTTTTGTTTCTTTTCACATGCTCATAAATACATAAGAATCATCTTTTTCGTCGTATGATACTGAGCTGAGTGTTTTTTTTTCAGTCATCGTCGTCGTCGTCGTTTTTATTTTCTTCTCCGCGACACTAACTGAATCGTGTAGTTTGGTATTAACATGGTCAAATGTTGTCATTTCGCACGTGAAATTGAATAGATGCATATTTGCAATATATATATGTATAACGGTTACGGTCGATATCACAAAAATGAAAACCTTAAGTCGAATAGATGGTTGGCTATTTATAAGAATCTTGTGTTTAGAAAGAAAGTAGGAAAAATGAAAGAATACGCAAAAGTTCATGCTGCGGTTAAAATTACATTTTGTATAACGAATTTGTTGTTTTGATCAAATGCCGTCTCGTCTCCAATGGATTTAACTTTGTTTAAGTACATTGCACAAGTATGTACAATGCGCCGACGTCTCTCTAGTAAAAAAAAGAGTAATCTCTCGCTCTGTCACCCAAATTATTCCATTCGAGGTACTATCGTTGTTGTTTTCATCCCGACGAAGATTTATTTAGCAATGCCAAAAGCAACGAATTTTCAATTTATTGTTAATCGAAATGGCGAAATACCGTTAAATGAGGCAAAGAGCAGCATGATATGAGAAACACGTGAACAAAAGTGTATACATATTCATATGAACATGGAACGGTGCGGGATGCATGCGCGCGCGACAACAACACGATCGATAAACAGCATAGCAATTTATATCAATTCGCTGTATAGCGAATCGCATCCGTTTTTTTTTGTTTGTTTGCATATGTTCTTGACATTGTTCCACTTTTAACAGGTTTCGCATGTGGAAACAGACTCTTTCGTTTATCAATTATTATTGTAGATTCTTTCGTCTCTGTACGGGACAACGCAATTTGTTTCGCTGCGATTACGGTTTCCGGAATGGTTTCCAACTATTATTATTGTTGTGTTTCTTTCTCGCCGTCGACGTATTCGTCAACGCATTTTCGCTTAATTGTATACACCACACCGATATATTTATGTACGATTTAGTTGTATTGATACAATGGCATGCCGCAACTTATTCAATCATCATGTGCGTGTTGCTTTTTTCATTCTTCATTCCGACCAAAGCAATTGCAAAATAGAACACTGAATCGAAGCTGCTTTCTTAATGTTTTATAGTCCGTTAAAACACGTATACTAATCGGTTGACGACTAAAGTGCCGTTATTTTCATTTGTTGTGGTCGCAAAAAACTCCTCAAAAATTACCATTCAAATAGAGCAAAGGAATTATATTCGATCGAAAGATAGAAAGAAAACGTTTGGTTTTTTTGTTTCTTTATTTGTTTTTGCTTGCTTTTATTTGGTGAGAATTTTATGTTTTGGTTATAAATGTTTTACATGTTCTAAGAACAATCTATGTTAAATTGATTTTAATGCATTTATTACACAGCTTCATTTGTTGCATCTTAGTAATCCGTTCCATTGAATGGGTGAAGTGGGTGATCGAGTGCACTGCAAATGAGAAAAAATACCAGAAAATTAAATTATATACCAATGTATTATAAGAGAAGGCATGCCACATGCAACGTCTTCATAACATAATCGGTTAGCAAATTATTATTAATCAAAATGTTCGGTTAAATTGCATAACCATAACAGCAATTCACTAGAAAATATCAAAACGAATTAAACATAATTTTGTTCTTTTGTTAACAACAACCCATAACCAAAAAAAGAAGAAGATAGATTTTTGAAGTGAATACAGAACATTAAATAATAAAAGATGTGATAGAATAATAATGCAAAATAGAATTGCTAAGCCACTGTATACAGTATACTTCTATAGAAGGTTTGTAATGAACCAGTCACCACAAGCAATACAAGCAACACAACAACAAACAAATCACACTCCAATTTACCTAATATAATACGTGTTCTTTGGGTATTGGGATTTATCCAAAATTGATATTGAGTAATTGATAATTTTTGGTTTTTGAGTTTTTGTGGTTTGTTTGAATTGAATCATTTTTTTTGTTTCCATAACAGGAATTAGTATTCATCATGGAAAGGATAATCACGATGAGCTGAAGAGTCCAGCGATTCCCTGCTCAGAGAATTATTATTTTAAAATATGTTTTGTAACAATATAGGCGTGTACTTGTTATGCCATATAAGTAGTATGTAAATAAGAAAACTTTTTACCATATAGAAAAAAATACGAAAATAAGTAAGTATTTGTAAAATTAGAAAAATGATTTCTTACCCGGCCATTGGACAGATGCGACCATTACATTCGAAGGTGTTGATTTCGGCAATGTCTGCGTCGCTCAATTCAAAATCGAAAACATTGAAGTTGGTTGCAATGCGCTCTTTGGTTACAGATTTTGGAATGACAACATGACCACGTTGAATTTGGTAGCGAATCAAAATTTGAGCTGGTGTTTTGTTGAATTTAGCGGCAATGGCAAGAACCTGTTCAAAAAATAATAAATTGTAGAAAAATTGTTATGCAAAAAAATGTTGCCTCCGGCAGGCGTACCTTTGGATCTTCCAGTACAACTGGATCGTCAGCTGTAACCCATGGACGGTTTGGTGATCCAAGTGGACTGTAAGCCGTCAACACAATATCAAGACTTTTCAAGTAGGCGCTCAATTTTTGTTGTGTAAGATATGGATGGCATTCAACTTGGTTGGTGACTGGTTTGATGGTGCTTGCCTCAACAATGCGTTTTGTTTGTGCCGCATTGAAATTGGAGATTCCAATGCTCTTCACCAAACCAAGTTCAACGGCTTTCTCCATTTCTTTCCATGTGTCAACATAATCGACATCCGAAAACAAAATCTTATCATTTTCGTCTTTTGGGAACAAATCGCCGTCTTCTTTGTAGGCAAATGGCCAATGAATCAAATACAAATCCAAGTATGGAGTGCCCAAATTTTCCAATGTTTTCTTCAAAGACGGGATCACCAAGTCGGGACGATGGAATGTATTCCACAATTTGCTGGTGATGAACAAATCTTCTCTGTTGAATAAAAATAACAAATTTGTTAATATAGTTTATTCTTTTGATTTTATGTCAATTGAAGTTTTTTGATAGAAAATTTATGGTATTTGTTGGTACCTCTTTACAACACCTTCGGTGATTTTTGCGTTGATACCTGTACCAACTTCAGCTTCGTTACCGTAAACGTAGGCGCAGTCGAAATGACGATAACCGATATCAATTGCATCCTTTACAGCTTGAGTGACTTGACCGACAGGTGACTATAGAAACAAGAGAGATAAGAATTATAAACATATAAAAATAACAAAGCTGAATATTTTTTTTAGAATAGAGCTTCCGCATCGTCAGCGATTACGATGTTTATTATTATTATTATTATATTGTTAATTGAAACAATGCTAAATAGGTGGCAATTAAAAACATTCCATTACATTTAGCTATTAAAATTCATTCGTTGATAATGGAACGCAAGTGTTGAAAAAAAATTTGCGATATCATAACGTGAAGCAAGAGATAAGCAGTTGTAATCTTTACTACACGTCATAGCTCCAAAATTTTAAAAACAAACCTAAATTTAAACACATTTCTTGAAATTTCCAGGCTATTTTGGGCGCAATGCAGACACGTGCAAGTAATTTCAAAACCTATTGTCCAAAGCTCAAATGGTCCAACATCTTTCAGTTTGTTTCCGTGAATATAATGTTTATTCGGTCGAGCGAACAATGGAGAAACGAATATGAACGATAATTTAACATTCAATTTAATTTCATTTTATCAAGGACATAATATGGCAATTTATGGAAATGTTTTTGGATTTTTTTTATAATGAAGCCAATTTAAAACGTAAGCTCAACAAAAAAAGGACCTTTTGGCCTCTTTTAACTTATCAGTATTAGTACGTTAAAACTAAATTATGTAAATGGCGATAGAAATTAATGAAGCAAACAAATCGAAAAATACGGAAATATTTCAAAATTGTACACATAATCTATGTATCGATAAAGAGAAATTGGTCTATCGACCAAAATTACTTTGTAAACATATTTGAAAAAATTGCTTTCTATATCGAATAATGCTAATAAATCATCATCCATCTACCGATTTTTTTCCCATTATATGATTGTTTTTTTTTTTTCATCATAAAATATTCAACACATAGCACTGATACGCTATTCTTGACGTTATGTGAAATACAACGAAGAAATCGGTTATTCATCTTCGACAATTTCATATTCGCTATAATTTTTTTATCTTCTTAAATAAATAATAAATGCTTATAGATTTGTAGCACAGGTGATAATAATCACACACCTTCACCGCCGACTTCGTTTGCAGATTAGAGAAATACTGTCAAACAAAGTATGTTTGTATATGAAAATAGCCCACAACAGAACATTCGAGAATTCTCGTTTGATAAAGATAGAAAATACCAATGCCATTCAAATCGTGATTAGTTTGTATTAGATTGGATAGAATCCGTGAGTATGGGTAGTTCATTTCTAATGCTTATTATTATTGCGTGTTAGCAATAAGCAAAATTTCATTTTAAATGTATAACGATTTCGAGCTGGTGGAATATGCGATGTGGAATATGCGCAAACAGATTCTGTCCACAGACAATTCAATTTCTACTATAAATGGTCAGTGCTACATTTTTTTATACAAACATTTGATTTTTTCTTATAAGAATTTCCAATTTCTTCAATTAAAAAACTGTTTTGAAAATATTCATTCATCGACAACACCGGTTTGTCAAGTGCAACTGGTTAAAACTTGAATGAAAATAACGAAAGTATAATTTTTAGCTAGACATCCGGCGTACGCATCACTCAAATCTAATAAAATTTTGTGTTTTTTTCGCTCTGTTGTGTGACTTAATGCTTCTATCCCACTTAAATTGGCAATGATTTTTCAATTTGACTTAATTTATTTTAATATTACTCACATTCCAGGTTCCAAGTCCAAGCTGAGGAATTTTTTGACCGTTGTTAAATGTGATGTACGGAACTGATGCCATTGTATACTATGTTGTTTTATGGAAAATTACCGACCGTGAAAATAAAGTGTACAAAGAATAATACTTCGCAATGTCTGTACTTCGCTAGCGGCAAGTGTAGACTAATGAAATACGTGTTGTTCTATCAATTTTTATATGTCAAACATAAATGCTTATTGAAGGGGAAATTTTGTTATGGATGATGTAGTAGATCTTTCGACTCTAATGTGACAGTTCACTCTGAACTTCTCCTTCAAAACGGAATATTCTCAGATTCTGGTCAATATATGGATACTACTTTTTTAAACTTTTTTTATTATGTCCGTCATAATGCTTTTCCATGCTTAACTTTAAGTTTTTTTTTTAAATAAAGACAAAAAACGATAATATATTTTTTTTGACTAAGTTCAACTTGTAATGTGCTCTATGGTTTATTCTTTATATCTGCGAGCATGGCTCTCTCTTCATTTTCAATTTCCTTCCTAACTTTATCAGTTATAATTTTGGTCACATTAGCATTTACATCAGGTAGAATACCCTTCGTTCGAACAGCATGTTCGATTTTTCTAACCAAATTTAATTGATTCATTCCGCTTATAAAATTTGTAACTTGACAATTTGTTTCACTGGTATAACGTCCAATTCGACCGCATCGATGAATATAGTCCGAAATATACATAGGAAATTCGAAGTTGATCACATGACAGGCCTAGAATTAGAGTGAATTGAATAAAAATGTGTTACTACAATATTAATCGAATCGACTTACTCGTTTTGTATCAAGTCCCCGGCTGGCCAGATCTGTTGTTGATAAAACGTTAACTTGTCCCGATTGAAATTTTTTAAATTGTTGACGTCGAATTTTTTCGATTAGCGAATTATTCATTGAGCACGCTTCGATGTCATGATCGTTAAGAAAAATCGAAACAAAATCCGATGATTCACGCTTATTAGAAAAAACAATGACCGGTCGTTTTCGGTCAAGATCTTTTTTAATGATCTTGAGCAATTCGGCTGGACGATGTGATTTACGCATTCGGATAAATTTCTGTGTGATATTTGGCATGATTTTGTGTAAATATGGGCTAACGGCTTCATTTATTGTGCTTGGATCAATAATCGATTCCAATGAATTGCTTATATTTGTTGGCATTGTGGCTGAGGCAAGTACCAATTGTGTTGCTACTTCATTTGGTTCGCATCTTTTCACATTCTTATGAAACTGCAATAAATCAAAACATTAAATTATGGGTAAATAATCGGATTTCATTCGATCTTACCGGAAACCGTTTCAAAATGTATCTTAATTTTCCGGAAAAACTGTCGTCCAACAATGTATCGGCTTCATCGAGAACAACATGCCGAACCTTATCCATTCGGTAGATATTTGTTGTTATTAATTTGCTTAGCGATCCCATTGTTGCAATCAAAATATCGATTTGATTGATGGGCGGATTCATCATAATTGATTTTGTATGACCGCCAATTAGAACTTTTGTTTTTACGTCAAGACCATGACACAGGTCTTCGCACACTTCGCCAATTTGTGTTGCCAATTCTCGTCCCGGTGTGATAATTAATACTTTTGGCATATTGAATTCAGGCGGTTCATCTTTATCAATTGTATGTTTTCGTTTCAATACATTTTGGATGATTGGCAATAAATAAGCGATTGTTTTTCCGCATCCTGTTTAAATGGACACAATTCGGTTAATATTATTGAAGTTTTTTTTTTTTTTGAAAATAACCAACCTGTTTCAGCCGCAATTAAAGTATGTTGATTATCTAAAATCATTGGCATAGCTTTGTGTTGAATAAATGTTGTTCGTGACATATTCAACCGACCGCCCAAATTGATGCAAAGCTCAGGATGTATATCATAATTTTCGAATGATTGATTATACTCCGGTTTTTGTGTGACATCTTCGATTGAATTTTCTGGATGAATTATGAAGAAATCTCCTTTGGATTTATAGTGATGCCAACCATCCGATGTGAGAGGTATGGATCCAAATTTTGCATTTTCATCTTTTTTATCGCCGCAATGTAAATTAAATTCTGGCCGTCGACAAGTTATCAAGGGTTCTCCGATGTGTTTGATGATAGGTTTTTTCGTTTTTATCACATTTTTGTAAAAGGACAACGCCCGAGATGTACTCCACTCGAGTGAGCGAATTTTTAACATTTTTTTTTTCTTGATTACCAACTTTCAATTTTTCGGAAACAATTCACGTGTATTTTGTTTAAAAACAAATCCAAACAAATTCACTGGTGTGTTTTTTTGGTTATATAAATGTCAAAATTGTATATTAAGCACATTGTCTACGACAGATAAACGTCAAATATAGAAAACTGTCACGAAATTGTCGTGAGCGTTTGACATTACTCACGAAATGAACTTAAATAATAAAAATTGTGTTGTCAACAAATAAATAATTTACTGCATTGCGTTTTTTTCTCTCATGAATTTCTCGTCCAAAGTGCTCTTTTATTGAATCAAGACCAATTTGAATTCAGAAAAAAAAAATGTTATACCGGCTGTGAAAAAAACCTATTTAAAGAGTTTAAATTTACCAAAAAGAAAAATATGATTCCAACCAAATATGAAACATCGAGCAAGACATACTTCATAGAAATTTCGTTTGGAAAATTTGCGGTGACCATAGTATCGTTGCCATTATTTAGTTTTATTTTCTGTGTTATTTGGTCCGTCCTGTATTTTTATGACAGATCAACGGCAACGCATTGCGGCGTTGTTAATTATTTGCCATCAATATCGGCCGCTATTGGAAATTATCAGCCGCAACGTTTTATCTGGCAATGTGCGATTCTGTTACAAGCTTTGCCACGATTCTTAGTCGCTCAACAGTATTTACGGCACAACAGCAATCGCATCCGAAGAAGTCGTCGTGCTTTTGCCTACCTGGCATTTCTATTGAATATTATTGAGAATATTGCATTGGTTGGACTTAGTCTGTGGAATTCATCTGACTTTTACGGTATTTTGAACAAATATTTCACACAAAAAGCTCAATTTGTTCATTGATTTTTGTTTCGTTTTTTTTTATAGAGATCCATAAAATATGCTTCATTGTGTTCATTGCCACTTCAGAGTTTTATATGCTCATATCGTACGTTCTCAATCGAAATTCGCGTAAATTGTTGGATGTGGTGTCAAGCGTTGAACGAAAATCGTTGTATTACAAGCGAGCCCTTTTATTCATAAATATTGTTAGCTTCTGGTGCGCTGGATACTTTTTTCTGCGACATAATTCATACTGTGAAGCCGGTGGTAAGAACTTTAAATTGAACAAAGCCAAACATCTTCGATTGAAAACTATATAATACGCTTGTTATTTGTTTTACAGTTTATACATTATTCGCTTTAATGGAGTACGTTGTGGTTGTAACAAATATGGCCTTCCATATGACTGCTTATTGGGATTTCTATGATAAGCTCATTGTCTGCGACAGAATAAATGGTTTCGATATGATCACAGCCAATCAATACAGTCGACTGAAATGAATGTATTGAATTCAAACAGCGCAAATTTTTACGTTTTAAAAAAGTCACTACAGCATTAAGTTTTTGCATTAAAAATAGATAGAAATAAAAAAAAACGCAAGCTTTACACTATAGCAACAATGTTTTTAATTATTATTGTTTGTTAAAAAAGAAGTTGTGAATCGATTTTACAAAAATCGTTGTAATTTTTTATTTATATTTCATATAAACATCAACAACAAAAGAAAACAAAATAGAATTTTATAACTTGAATTCAACATCAATTTTATCGGCAATCATTTTGGCGATTGCAAGGGAACTTGTCGCGCCTGGTGATGGTGCGTTTCGGCAATGCAAGACACGTTTGGCAACCGCACCTTTTCCTTCGCCGAAATGAAAAACAAAATCATCCACCAATTTTCCATCAATCTCCAGGGCTTGTGCACGCACGCCCGTCGGTCCAATGCCCAAATCAAAATCATTTATATCTGGTATGAATTTCTGTACATGCGGTGTCTGAAGCATGATCAATGTGGATTTATAAAATTCAGACACACCATATCGGAAATGTTTAGCTGCCAAACGTAAGAAACCGGGATATCTCAAAGCATCGATTAATTCGAGTGGATTGATTTGATACCATTTGTATCCTTCTCGTTGGAATGCAAGTACGGCATTCGGGCCAATCCAAACGCTACCATCCATTCGTGGTGTGAAATGAACTCCTAAAATTTGAAAATCATTTTTTTAGAACTATTCTAGATTACTCTCGTTAACTTTGTTACTCACCCAAAAATGGGAGGCTGGGATCAGGGACCGGATAGATATTTCCTTTAACCATATGACGTTTTTCTTTGCACAGCAATAAATATTCGCCTCTGATTGGTACAATTCGAGGTGAACGTGGGCAACCCGTTTTCTCTGCCATTTTATCACTTTGCAAACCAGCACAAGTGAGCACGTATTTGGTGTGTAGCGTTGTATTCGAATCTTTTGCTTGAATCGTCACCGGATATTCAGAATCGCCTTCAGTTTCGGAAAATTTGTTCACTTCATAATCCAACAAAATACGACCACCCATGTAACGAATGTCTGAGGCATAATGCTCCGTCACCACCGCATAATCCACGATTCCAGTGTGCGGTGACCATAATGCTTTCAATCCCTCACAATATGGTTCAATCTCTTGAATTTTATCGCCATCAATTAACTGCAAATCTGGCACACCATTTGCAATGGCCCGTTTATGCAAATCCTGAAATGAAATGAGACTTTTGTTTTGAAAACAATGTAAAACGAAAGTAAGCATGGAGAACGTACCAATAATCTCGGAATTTCGACCTCTTCTGTGGCAACGATTAATTTGCCAACTTTTTTGTATGGAATGTTTTTCTCATCGAAATATTTGTAGCATAATTGCATGCCTTCCACGCATAGTTTGGCCTTCAACGAGCCGGGTACATAATAGATTCCAGCGTGAACTACACCACTATTATGGCCGGTTTGATGAAATGCTAGTCGTTCTTCTTTTTCGACCACTGCCACTTTCCATGTTGGATGCCGCAAAAGAATTTCACGTGCCGAAGCTGCACCAACTATACCACCACCAACAACGACTACATCATACTTTTCCACTTTGCTTGAAAACAAAAGTAAATTTATTTAGCATTGTATGTCACAAACAGTAAACAAACACAGATTAGATAATGACAGTCGTCAAAATAATTTCAACACTGTAACAATGAATGATTGTGATGAAATCAGCAAACACATCAAATTCAAAAAAAAACTTCACACAGATTGGCAAATTGAATTTGCAGTAAAATGATTTAAATATTTTTTTTAAAAACTCCTACTTCTGCGATCCGAAGATGTTTCCAACATATTCTCGTTGCAAAAACTTATATCTTTGCGCTAAGTTTCGGCATATACTTCGCGACAGCATTGTGACGAAGATATTTTTGTATAAAATAGTTGCGATTCAAAACACGAAATTTATTGTAATTTTGTCATCAACAGCTGTGACTAGACAGAAGACAATCACTTAAAACACTGTATATATGCACAGAGGAGACATTCATCTGCTCACGTATTATGCATTGCACGATTGATAACATTCGATATCACTCACAATACATGTGATATCGATTGTCTTTTGAACACATTGATGCAAAATGCATTCATTATAATAATATGTGTCTTATGTACACATTACTACAATGAAAAAGGTCAAATAATGTCAATGTCATTACGATATTATAGACGGTGAAATGTACGTGAGTTCGTGATTTAAACCTTATATTTCATTTCTGTTGTACTCAACATTAAGTATCACAGACAAATAGTAAATCTTTTTAACAATTGAAAGGTTTTCAAAAGAACAAAAGTTGGCAATGAAATAAAAGAGTAATTATATGAAAAATATTTTATTTTATCTATTAAGAATTGATTCTGTGCAGCTATACTGTGTTTGTACACTTTACTATATATAGTACGTTTTACAATATGTCGTATTCACAACTACAAAAAATACGTATAAAATTGTATGAACAAAGCCTCCAGGAATTGATAATTGTGATTTTATAGAATTATTCATTATTTGGGATGTCATGAAGTCCGCACTCTCGATTAGCTGGAACCGCTACATCTATTGCGTAAAATAAATATTAAAAAAATGTTTTATCATATACATAATTATAAATGGCGAAACAGAGATCATGAGAAGTACAAAAAGCGTTATTAACGCGTATTAAAGAAAACGAAATTATTTTTCAACAAAATTAATTCTTTGGAATCATCTGTATTTTATGCTCATATTTGCAAATCGCAAATCGTGATTTATATTGGAAATAAAATGAGTGTTTACGAATGTAAAAAAATTAAATGTTGTTAAACTAAATGTCTATAGTTTTTATACAACATTTTTTTCGGTTTAAGCACTAATTGAAATGTGTACAAATACATAGAAGAAGTGAGCATGAGATAAAAAAGTAAAGTATTTGCGTATTTTAAGCTTCTAATTAATTCCACTTTAGAAGTTGAGTCTCAAGATAATTGGTTGAATTTTTTATAATTGTTATAGCTTCATCTTAATGGAGGTAGTCAACATTTGTTATCTTTTTAGAATATAAATTAAACTTGTCTTAAAGATATACTTACCAATCATTTTTGGCTTTGGCAAATTCAAGTTTGTCATAATATCTACAAATGTATCGATGTCTTTGGTCAAACGTGGATTGTATTTCTTTTCTTCACCCACAGTGCTCTCTAATTGTCCCCTGTGAAATGCAAAAAGTCATAATAATTTAAATCATTAAAAAATAAAAAACTTTTCTTTGAAATGTTGAGATTATGCTTTTCTCTCCATTAAAAATGAATTTTGAGACGTTTTGATATTATTTTAACATACTAGCTTTTTTAGTCAATAGCAATAATAATTAACAAATAATACTTGCTTGTAGTCATGAGCCGGAAACATGCGAAAATTATCAGGCAAAGTGAATATTTTATTATATACAGATTGATAGAGTGTACGTGCGTCACCTTCTTGGAAATCTGTTCGACCACAACCCCTTATCAAAATAGTATCCCCAGTAAAAACAATACCCTGTACTCAATGAAAAACAACATTTTTGACCGAAAAATATGTTTAGCCAAAATGCAAGGTTGTGTTGTATTGAAATATTAAATAAAATAAGACAGTTCTACGAGTTATTACCTGTTCACAATTGATAAATGTCATGCATCCGTTGGTGTGTCCAGGTGTTGAAACTGCTTTGATTTCATGACGGCCAAATGTAATGACATCACCATCGTTTAGATGTTTATCAGCAATAGCTCCACTTGTTTGTGAAATAACGCTACGTACGTTGGGCAATAACTGTTTTAAATACCCGGTTCCTGTAATGTGATCAGCATGCATATGGGTATTGACTGTTCCATAGTTGAATTTTATTCGGTAAGTGACATCGAATGAAAATGATAGAGAAAAAAGGGATAAGTGATTAAAAAACTTGTATTCAGGACCACTCATTGTAGGAATACAATGTAAACAATAATAATTATGATTTACAGTATTTAGTATGCATTGAACATTCCTAGTAAATATCAATTCAGGCAATGAAATGTTAAGGATAGACACAGAATTTTCAAATCGATTCAAAAGTACTAACTTGCATATTTGAGTTGAAATTCGAGCTGATTCACCAGTTGTGCATCACGCTTTGCTTGCTCTAATACAGGATCTATGAGCACTGCTTCCTTTGTTGTTAAATCAGCCATTAAATACGTATAGGTACTGCTTACTGCGTCGAATAACTTTTATTGTATCGAAAATAGATTTTGAAGTAAAAAAGATAAGATAAGCAATAATGTAAGTGTATTTGTTAAACCAAAAATATGAACGACATAAAAAGTTATGACTGTTATCATTTTGCGTGATATATTTGTTTTTTTCAAATCTTAATTATTGCATTTTAATTTAAAGAAATTTTAGTGGCAAACAGAAGAAAATTATTTAAGCCCTTTATTACTATATGCTCGAATTAAAAAACATTACTGTATCACAATTAATTTTTCAGCTTTTTATGAATTTATGTTTATATTTTCATCTTACCTGCCGAAAAAAGAAATCACTGGAAAATGAAATGCGCGGTGTAATATTCAAACGACTTGATGATGTCATTTTAGCAACACTACCTAGCATTTTTGATGCCTTTGGATCCCACACAAAAAATTGAAAACTTGCAAGTTTAAAGAAAAGATATGATAAGTAACTTATCACTACTAGTACTGAACCAAATTATCAAAGTGTAGTATCTGTTTTTAAAAGTACATGGCGATTAAAGTCACTTATACACAGTCAGAAATTATGTTTTATGTGTGTAAATAAAAAATTCAGACGTTATGGTCGTTTTAAGGGTAAATGGTATGTTCACATTAGGCTTATAATCAACATTAACTTAAACAACAATAAAAAACCAACAACACTCACTATTCACTGGGAAATTACCAGATAATGACGATGATGATACTGTTTAATTAAACGCGAAACGATCAATGAATACAATTTTTGTTTTGGTCCAAAACAAACATGCTACGTATATACACTTCACTGCAATGAAAAAAGTCAAATAATGTCAATGTCATTGCGATATTATAAAAGTTACGTGAGTTCGTGATCTTATATTCAATTTTTGTTGTAGTCATCATTAAGTACCACAGACAACTAGTAAATCTTTTGAACAATTGAAAGGTTTTCAAAGACACAAAAGTTGGATCAAACTTTGTATGGGCAAACCAAAAAGTGAAATTCATTACAATATATCGTGAATCTAATTCTATTCTTTTCGGAGAAAATGAAACGTGGGCGAGTGTCATTTATGCTTGTTCTTCGAGATCGATTTTGGTTTTTATTAGGAACATAAAATGATATGCTGCTGTGTATACTACATAATACATAATACTTATCGTTAACTTTTACTAAACAAAATAACGCCAAATTTGCAAAGTTAATCTAATGCCGGAAGCTTGATATACTTTTGGGTTATTTTTGCCGGCGATTAGATAATAAGCAGTCCTTTCTCTACGTTACGTCGAGTAATTTGGCTGAATATTTATTCCAAACATGAACTTTCGGGCATTATATAGGTTGTAAGTTTTAATTGGAAAAACTCTTGTCAAAACACCTGGACCCGATGAAAACTCTCTGAAAAGTTGATTACTTGATTTAATTTTCATCCAAATCAAAACCAAAATATGCGCCAATAGAAAAAAATTGAATTTTCATTATCAGATTGAATGAACGAACAAGTTATCTCCGAGGATTTTTAATCTCTAAACGATCAGGAGGTACAAGGTCGAAACAATATAAAAGGCAACTATTTTTAATCTATTCATTTTTCGTTTTGAAAAGTTATAACTCTTTTGAATTTAATGCAAATTTTCGTTTGACATTTTTCGCGAGTGAGGAAATATTTTATTCACAGCAAATGCGTTGCGAGCAGTTTTTTATATTTTATTTATCAAATTTGCCTGAATTTTGCATTTTTCCCTTCAATCGATTCAAGTAAGTAAAAAACCCAATAACGAAAAACCTCCAAATAGCGAACAAATTATTTCGTCTCATGACTTGTCTCTCGCCGTTATAGAGAGTGATGACTGATGAGATTCTGTTTTTTTAATCTATATACCATGAAAGAATACGACAGATTTATTTGAACGTCTTACTAGAAAAAAAATTGTCGGTTTAGCGATATAAGAAGCAGAATGACAAATCATTTAGTAATTCGTTGAAAAATTCACCTTGTTATTTTGCGCTCACCAAAAAAACTGAAATATTTCCAAATACTGTATTTCATTCAAACTTTCATCTCCATAGTTCATCTCCACATTTTTGTTTGATAATCTGATCAAAATCAATGAATAAAATCAACATAAATATTCATTTTTTTATTTCACATCCGATTACCTAAAGCGAGATATAATTTTTTCCATCACTTCATACAGGAAAAGATCATTTATTTAAATTCGATTGCATCAATTGCATTGAAAAAAGTTTTGTTGTCTCAGGAACTACAGAAAAAAACTTTCTCAGCATCTTTGTTGTTGCAAGCTAGTCAAATAATATCCTATGAGATGTTGAAATGATGATAACAATTTGTAACCAATAAAAATGCTACAATGGTTTCGATTTAAAAAAAAGTGGTGTGTTACTTGTGAACCTTTGAGAATCTTAAAGATTTATGCGCTACTTTACATTTCATATTCACTTGTTTGAGATCAAAACCAAAAGATACACGGTGACAATGGTACAACGTCCTGAAAAAAGGCTCTATCCAACTGTGATGGTAAGTGGCTACTGAAAGGATGACAAACGCCATAAAATTTATTGCCTCCTAAATAATACTGAATTTATAATAACGTTGAGCAGGTCGATTTTACGTACGTCTTGGAAATTAACTTTATCCCAATTGTGTGTGAGAGTGTGCATATTGGATCACGGACACGATATCTTGATTTTAATCCAATCGATAAAACCCAAAGACACAAAAAAATTAGACATGCAGTTTTTGATTCGCTTTTTTAATGTCCTTCTCTCGTCTATTCGGTACATCCATTTCGAATTCAATGAAAACAAATTTTATATTTCGAAAAATCTATCGATGGCAACCACACACAAACGCACTCGATCTTCATGCAATGTTATTTATTTTGCCCGGAATTTATGATCGTGAGTAAAAAAACACCCCAAAGAGCAAACTTTATTTTTATTCACTTTTAATGTGCACAATTAAAACGCAATAATCGTAAATTAAAAAAGGTTCATAATTTTTTTCGGTTTTTTGTAACAATTTTGAGAGTGTTTTCTTTTATTTTAAAAGTGTCGCCATCAAAAGTCACTCAGCTGAGAATTAAAATGATTGCTGTAAGAGGTGATCGGTTAGCGCCATGATTTGATGAATTATGGTTTGTTTTGGTGATTCTTGTCGTCAAATTTTGGTGCTTGGATGTGTAATTTGTCTCACTTTTATCAAATTGGAAAATATTTACATGGAACTTTCATTTTTTATTATTTATTCTTTCGGAATCAAGTAATAATGATAATCAAATACTGAGTTCAAGTCGATAGATTAAATTCATGATGTTACAAAAAAGAGAGTTAAGAATATGATACACAATTTCACTTGTGAATAAAATCGGATCAAATCTCTTCAATCACTCGTAAAATAATTGTAAATCCTGTTTTAATTATACCAAATGCTACTTAGTTGCTTTTCGCCCATGTTAAATTGGCGTGATGCTGAGAATCATATTTTTTGCTCGATGAATAGAAAAGGTCTCATATACAGGCATGCAGGTAGTAAAAAGTCGTCTTTCTCCTCTTTCTATACCAAATGTACCAAATAGACAATGAAAGAAAACCCGTGGTTATTCACCAAAAAAAGACTACAGAAAAAAAAAACACTTCCTTCTTCAATTCGTACGAGATCGAGAGAGAGAAAAAAACGAACGAAGAAAAAAAATATTGTAATTAAGTTACAATGAATCGGCAAATCTTAACAAGTTCACTGGCTGCAGCAAAATCTAACCGGATACAATGTGAGTCGGTTATGATTTTTCTCTATATTCATCGTTTGTTTCGATGATTTGAAATTGTGGTTGAGCCGACGACGTGTTTGGGAAGGATTAAAATGAAATTATGACTGTCGATGAAAGTTAGAAAGAATAGAGTAAACAAACCGAAAAGAAAAAAACAACAGACGAAAACTGTGAATTAGATTAGCACAAATTAGACTGTGTGGTTTTTCGGGGTTGTGTTGCCTTTTGCGGCTCCATTCAAAATTATGCGGTGGATGTGCATTTTCATTAGCACAGTGCCAAACCTTTAATTTTTGTTCCCTTTTTCTCAACTATTTCCAGGAGAAATTGCTAACGAGCTCACATTCGAACATAATCAAAGCAAGCGAAAGGTGTCAAAATAATTTTCATTTAAATGCTCAGTTTTGATGATGCAATGTTCGACTTCAAAGGATTTCCGGTAGATCGTAGATGAAATTACTAGCTACACTCGTCTTTTTCGCACCATTTCATCGTTGTTTATCTGTGTCTGTGATCTGACCACACAACCGTCGTCTCCGTGTATTTTTGATTGGATTGCTACATCAAACACACTCACACATACTCGAAAATTCGCTTTTTTTTAACTTGAACCAACCCTCCGACACAACAAATTCATATAATTTCAGCTGAATTTCTGCAAAAGTTAGTTATTTTCAAATATTCAGGCTCAATTCATTAAATTTAATTTATTCGATGCCACAATGTACGAAGTCCTCTTTCGAAAAGAATTTGCATTGCAAATGTATTACATTTTTATTATATTCATGGCATGAACAAAGTTACCATTTTTCTTCCAATAGAAAAAAACAATTGCCGTTTTGAAATACTTTTTTGTTCCGAAATTCTGCGATCCATATCGAAAATGTAGGATAATGCATGTGGATGAAAACGGTTAAATGCCAATGTAGTGCTTATGCTCGAGACGGTAATGATCGCAAGGAGAGACTTTTTCGCTTCGATGACTGTAATTATGCATACAACAGATGCGATGGATTTATCGTTTTCCATGAAAAATCGTGCGTTACTCCATAATTATAGTTCCATTCCAACCCCGCATCAAAATATATTGGAGTTGAGGGATATTCACTTCGGTATAATAATCAGGAGCAACAGTTTTATAGATCACTTTCAACTGGAGCAATGTTAAGGTTATTTGACTTTGTTTATTTTAGTTTCTGTATAATAAAAATTCATGCATAAACTAGAAATCATCCCTTTGATATAGAGTAGAAATTCTTAATTTTATTAGTCACAATTGTGATCACCCTCTCTCTCTCTTGCACAAATACGGTATGCATGCATAATTATGGTGTAAACAAGGAGTAAAAAACGGTACAAACACACCGAAAAGGGAAACAATTCAGTGTAGAAAGATTGATGGCACAAAAAGAAATGGTTGACCGAACATGACGGCACACGAATTCAATTTTGACGAGCACGCGAATGAATTCACCCTCACAATTCAGCACAACGGATTCCTCTACATATATTTCGTTATTATTATTATTTTTTTATTTTAAATTGACTAATCCGTACTTTTCAATTTTCGAAGGTGTATCGGTAGCAATATGGCATTCGTTGCTTTCGATTTGTTACATATATGAAGTGCAAGCAGCCTTAAAATTTAATTTATATATTGAACGCCAATATTGAATTTGATGATCCGAACCATTTTTAATAGAGGTGATCACTGGATTCGGTTTTTTTATGTTCGATCCATTAAACCGAACCGCAGAGCATAAGTTTCAATGATATCGATACCTAACGATTATGCACAGACACAAATACATTCACGTCAACACATTTTCGACATGAAAATTCTAAAGATGATGAAAAACGAATATGATTGCTCGACTTCGATGTCTACGGTTCGTGCCATATGTGTTTGAAAGGGCATGCTCAGGTATTTACGAGTATTAGTATTTTAACACCACCGGATTATGCCGAATTTCCTATGTAATTTTGGCATTTATAAATTTAGGTGAAATGTAAGCATCTCTGGACTTGTTGAAATGTAAGCATCTCTATGGTCAGAATTTTTCGGTACCGAAACATTGAAATGATTGATAGAGAGAACTGGAAGAGAGAGAATTGAGTGAAAGTTGAAGAAAAGATGATCTCGATTGGCAAACGTTTCAAATTCAAAATGAATTTGAAAATGATCAGTTTAAATTGAAAAGAAATTCAGAGAAATGTTCGATTAAAATGAAGATTATCAAAAAGAATCTCGATTTTAATCACCTTTTCATCGATTCACTCAGGACATTGACATGGTCGATGATCACTGGCTATTTATAGAACAAAATGTATCATTTAGCGTAAAATCGACACCGTACATAATCGATTTATATCGTTCACTCAATTAATTTATGCAAACACACGCGCACACGCTAGTCAAACTGGTTACCTCTCATTGTTCTCTCATTTGTTCACACTTAAATGTTCAGGTGTCCATTGTCCAGAGTGAAATTAATACAGTTTGTTGATCGGTGTGTATGTACATTGCATATTCAATTTGTGGTATGTATGTACGTGTGCGCTGTATATTGTCTATTTTCAAGCGCATTCCGAATGAAGGAGACAAGCTAAATATCCTACAGGTGCGTACACACGTCTTATTATTGAATTAAAAACCATCAAAGAAATTAACGCTAAGATTCGACCGTAAATTTGAACATGAACATTTGTGACCATGGTTTTCAGTTAAATGAAATGTATTTCAAGAGCATTTGCTTCATTACGGACAGTTCAAGGTTAGTTCTTCTTTTCAATGGAAAAAGTAAATTTTTTTTTTATTTGGATGAGTGAAAATTGTACGAATTGGTTTTTTGAATTATTAATGAATGGAGAAAGAGTGTTCAAGTTCATTCGGTCCTAGTTCATTCGAAATGTCCAATGAAAATGAGTCAATTTTTTCTTTATTGAAAATTCAGAGCTTACAACGTTATGCATAAGAGGTTTCAAACCCATTCAAATAGACTTGCCGATGCATGCCATTCAAGATGTGTGCAAAAGATAAGGCAAATATTTGTTTGTGATCGAACTACCTGTTCTGATTCGTTTCACTTTTCCATTGAGACTCATTTTTCTTGAAACCAACGTATCGGACACTTCCCAAGCCAATAAAATAAATGACAAATAATGACGTTGCAACAATTGAAAATAATCTCCATTTCAAATTAGCGATAATATTTGGTCATCGGTTTGGTTACACCTACTTTTTTTTGTTCTTCATTGTTGTTTTTCTTCATATTTTGTTGTTGTTTGGCAATGGCTATGATTAGTAAATGGTTTGTTTTGGTTGTCGGATTTTGCGATTGTCTCTTTTTTCATGTTCACCGATGCTCGTCTATTTTTATGAGTTGTTCTTTTTTTTTTTGTTCGGTTAGCAAAGACCGAAAAAGTCACGCTGACCACAAATACAGTCTAGACATGTTGCCGGAACAACAATGCACAGCCTGAATTGGTGAGGCTAGTTAAGTCGGTGATATTTTGACAAACCCAATCATACCACAATCCTATTTTCCTCAGTCAGGATGATTCGATTGGTCAGTGATGTTGCCGATTCATTCAAAAATATTTCTTTTTGCATTACGATACCGTCGGACGAGGTTGGACTGCCGGTGGAAATAAATGGTTCGAACATTATTTGCGATTTTATTGGATCGATGCCCATTTGTTCTTCGATTTTATTGACTTTTAACGATTGCGTAATGATTTTTGTTGGCTTTCAAAAAACTAAAATTCGAAGCAATTTAGATCATCGATTTGATTGGCCTAGTTGCGTCAGACGAAAGTAGTTCCGTTTTTCGGCTATTGTTGGTACGTGTATAGTATGCCATATGGCGATTCATTTGAATTTTATTTATCCCATATTTACATATTTCTATGTCTCATCATTCATTTTTTTCGTTCGTTCTGCTTCGTCTTTACATCCTCTGCCTTTTTTTAAAATTATGTGTTTTGGTGATGGAAATAGAGCAACCAAAGAAATCATTAAAACCAACTTAACCAAAGTCTAATCGAAATTATCGTTCATTATATTTATATTTTCGATGAATATTTTTGGGGTTTCTTCTGGTGGTTTTGCTTTGCACAAAGGAACTAGGTAGATATATTTTTTTATTTCCGATCGGAACCATACGAAAAGTTCATATGCAAGCGAATAAAAAACAAATGAAACAGTTAGATTTTTTGGTAACAAAAACTGAACAATAAAAGTGTCAGAAGCAACAATAACCGAAAATCGAAGGACAACCAGGTAAAAACGAAGAAGCTAACAACAAAAGGAGATGTTGAACGCGATGAGCTAGAAGTAATTTTTACAATGCATTCAATTTTACTTTTTATTTTCATAAAAAAAACGTTATGGCGGCTCTTATCACATTCTCATCAAGCAGCTGGCAAAATACGATGACCAACACACACTTTTTTTCCTTAACAAATATTCATAGCAAGAACATGTTCTCCGGTGTGAGTGTGCGGTTGTTGATCTTCTTGCAGTTTTCATAGGATTTGTATACTTTTTTCGCTCTGGTACGTGATCGCTCGTCGTTTGCACCATGCGTTTGTGCTTTGTGTACGTTGTTTAGCAGAATTATTTATGCAAATATGCTAAAAATAATTACGGATTGGTTGTGAAATCGAAAACAAACGTAAACCGTAATTAGGTAAATCGAACAGTCTGAAATCCATGTATGTGCTCTTTGTGCATTCTTCTTTGCTTTGTTCTATAATGTTCCAGTCTTTTACATAGCTGTGCCCATTTTCGTCCGACAATCATGATCTCATTTAGTACCTTCGAGTTCAAATCTAATTGATTCCATATAAATGATGGCACGCGCACCCCTCAAACCAAAATTAGCTATTCATATTTATTCAAACGGACAATTTGATTTCTGTGGCCGCTTAATGCGATGATGTCATGCCTAGTTGCGTTCCGTTTTGAACTATTTCATTTTTCGTTGTTTTTAAATCGACATTGCATTAGTGCTCTTCTTTTAACATGAAACATATAAGAATACGAAGAGAAGGGAGAATTTTTTTTTTCATTTTAGCTTCACCCTCGCGACCTAACTTATTACGATTCTAATGGATACGTACATTAAACTATCGCGCGTGTACCTGCGTTTAAAAAAATTCGATTCTCTTGTGTATTTTAGCTCGCTGTTCTTGACTCGTGCCGATCAAATGACCGAGATACACATATAACGCTACTCTATATTCGTTGGCGAACACCAAATGAAGCATATGAGAATAAGTGAAAAGAACAAATGACGATGAAGCCACAACTCAATCGGAATTGATGAACATTTTATGTAAATGCATCGCATGACGTTTGACCATTTCTTGTGTGAGAAAGGTCCGGCATGAATGAAGAAAATAATTAATGCACACTTGCAACGAATTTCTTCATTTTGTCAACGATGAAAGTGACGATCTTCCTGTTTTTTTTTATTCAGATAAAATCAAAAAACTTGGTATTTAATTCTAGAGAAAAAAAACACTTTATTGTAATTATATTCACAAAAAACTCGATCACAATAGCTCTTGTAATAAATTATATGAAGCTGACCACTGTGACAGAGTTTTTTTTTTAAGTAAAAGAACGAAAATGAAATTCGATTCAAGAAGGAAATAATTCCATTGAAAAATCGATTGATGCGTCGCAAATGAAAAAGGTTCGTCGCTTAAAATTGAATCTTTTTACATTTACAAGGCAACGTTGCACTTATCAAAGAATTTTTTTTTATTTTTTTATTTCTAAACGAACTTAGCAATAATTGGGTTTATCTTACAATTCTTTGGTAAATTTAGCCTTTCATTTTATTCATTTGCAAAGTTAAATCTAATTGTAGCGCGTAATAAATATGCTTATATACAGTGAAATACAAAAAGGTTTTTTAAAAATTATTATCCTTAAGGCTGAATATGTGTATGTGTGAATAAAAGTTGAAAATCAAAGCAAAATTTTTTTTTCAAAATCACGACGTAATTTTGGTCGGAAAGTACCAATTGTGACAATGTCTGAAACAATTGAATGCAATTTGGTCTGATTTTCAAATTCTATTTGTGTGATGTATGTTGAATGAAATTTCAAGTTTTTTCATAGAAAAATTTCATTGAAAATACATCTCATTTACAAGTCTATCTACAAATTGCGGAAAATTATCTAGAAAATCCGTTGCTTCTGCGAAATTCTTCTTTTTTACGTTCCTAAAAATTGCCAACATCTAAATTTTGATCGAAAATAGTGTATGTGGTTTCATCAGCTCCATGCTCAAGTAAATGTGACAATGCTTGAATGTATGTTTTTGCCATTTGTAACGTTTCATATTTCGAAAGTTTGTGTTCATCATTCGTCGGCGGGACCACATCGCGTAGTTTATCAAATGCTTCGTTCAATCCATTCATTCGCCGTCTTTCACGTGCATTAGCAGCCAAACGTCGTTTTTTCATCACGGTTGGACTTGCCGTAATACTTTTGTTTGCTTTATTTGTTGATCCTTTTCGGCGGCCACGACCACGTCCTGCGCGCTTTGGTTTTCGTATCGTTTCAATTTCATCATCAAAATTACCGTTTCTTGCTGGTACCGCGTACAAATTTTCCACATTAAATTCATGAAATTGTAATTGGCTAATATCATGACTGAGGCCGCTACTGTTCAAAAGGCTGCCGGTGGTAGTGCTTGAAATGTTGTTATCACTGTAGCTGTGCGTTGATGTATTGATCCATGAAGCGTTTAAGCAGTTTGAATTGAATGATGAATGTACACTCGATACGTACGGTGGACTGTTGGAGAACACCGAACTACTTTCCTCCGTCGATGAACTGTAGACGGTGCGATACGGCATCAAATCCATATAAGTCGGTATGTATTCTTGATATGAAGTGTCCATTTTCTTCGCACTTTTTTGAACTCACAACGAAAAGAAAATCACTTTTTTTCCACGTCTCCTCACTATAATGATCTCTTCGCTTTTGTTTTCAAATCATTTGTTACTCTCAATGCAATTGAATGCCGACAAAAAAAAAGAGCAATGACTACTGTTCAAAACAATAATGATCGATGCAGTTTTTTAAATCATCATTATTCACTTTGTCTTGCGGCTTTTCCATACTTCACACACAGACACACTCCTTTCGGTCACTTTGAGTTTATTTTATTCTGCTTTTAAATCGGGCTGCGCACAATTGCGAAAATAGGTGAGCGGACTGACCGATCGGAATCACTTTCAGCCGTGTGTTTCTATTGAATTTTGAAAATGGACTAACTCAATAATCGGTTGACAGGGACGAGGCTATCGTCTGTTATGATACCGTTTCAATAGCAAATCGTGTATATGTGATGCATATATATAGTTTTAAAAGCGAATATCGAAAAGAGAGAGAGCACAGCGAGAACAACGGCCAACACAAGGACTTGTGTGATAGTTTTAACGACTTGTGTCTGCATTACATGTTGTATTTTTTTCGTTCGTTCGCCGTATTAAAAGTGTTCGATAATTTTATTTTGTTGTTTGCGTGTTGAACTGCGAGTGGGGATGGACATGTAAGATGTGATGTGTGTATGCTTCTAATTATTCAATATCAGAAAACACATATGCTTTTTTTTCGTATTCAACTGAAAATTAAAAACGACGTCGAAATAGAGGGATGTATCATACAAAACCGTAATTCGATTTCAAAAAGCTGAAAACCGTCTTCCACCACTCGATATATGTGTGTATGTGTGTTTTGTGTCAGTTGTTCAGTTCAACGGTTGTTCTAGGCTCTTCTCTCGCTTGCGCCCGTTAATCAACATCTCTCACTTACTTAACCACAACAACGGTACACTTTATCGCATACGATCTAGCGCATTGGCTCGTGTACTCTGCATTTCGAAAAGGATGAGAGAGACAACAGAAAAAAAACTGTATGTGTAAGTGTAAAATGCCAACAAATGTGATGTTTTCGTTTCAATTCCAACAATTTTTGTATATCGATTATAATGTGTGTATGTCAGAGTGCAACGCGATGATGTAAAATTTACTTCTCGTTTCGTTTGCACTACAAAACAAAATCCACCCGAATGTAGATCATTGGTGTTACTCTTCTTGCATTGAAGCAACTGAATAACAGCAGCAATAAAATAGAGGAATAAATTATGGCGCGTATCATCTGGACACTAAGCTTCAGACAATCGAGCCACGAAGAACGAAACTCACAACACATGAGAAACTGTAAGAAGGACAGAGAGAAATAACAGCCGTAAGAAAAGGAGAGGGCGACAGTCAGTTGATGGCACGTACCCTGTTTGTATGTCTATAAATTTCGAATAAGCGTTCGAACCAACACATATTACCGTACCGTAAAATTTACAAAGCAACAGTACATTCGATATAAGTGTATCCTCGTTCTTTTGTTGTATTCCAACCGAATTGATCAACTCTGGTCGTCGTGAAAAAGCGATACACGAGCCGTACAAGTAGTCATCGTCTGTTCACATTGTCAAATAAACTTTGCATTTTATGTTATTTTTACGTTTTGCGGTGTAGACACTGAAGTACACGTATTTTATACTTTAGCTCTAGCTATCGAACCGGACAGATGTGTTTTCCTTGTTTTTTCATATTTCTTTCTCAGTACAACGCATCCCAATATTAAATGCAAAACAAAATTTGCGGCGATCGCATAAAAGAAAAACAATTTCAACCATACAATTTGAATGTATTAGACAGTAGCAACCTTACAAATGATCTCTAAATCAATTGGCCAATGATTACTGTTTTTCTACTGCTTTTATTTTCGTTCAACTGCTTTTTTTTCTGTACAGAAAGAAGTTGTTGAAATGATCAAATTTCATATATTCGGTTTTTATTTGATTTTTTTTTTATTTGATTGCACCGAGACCAATCGTGCAGTAAAGCCGGCCAATAGATATCAAATGTCCACCGATTTAAAGGTGCATTCAATGAAACATTAAATATGTTTAATGTAATCAAAATTATGAACTTTTTGACAATGGAAACGGAGAGAAAAAAAAGCATTTCCACCTGTACACATTTACATCAGTTGACCGCTTTCAACAATCGATTCATAATTCTTTTGTTGTTGTTTTTTCTCATGCTTTTTCAACAGCATTAGCATATTACTTTACTACTGGTTTCGGTTGGGAACATCAGTTTAAGCACGGAGGAGAACATTTAAATCGGCACATTTTATTTTCGAATTTCTTTCTCCCGTGCATTTGGATGCAATTGATCATCGGCGATTATGGCAGTTCGCAACATTTTTTATATACACTCCTTTTTCTCTTTCTGCCTCTCACTCCTTCTCTCTCTGTAGCCCCACGAATAAAATATGGACCACATTCGAATCTATTGTATTCAAAACCACCAAAATGAAAAGCAATAAAATCATATCGCTAAATTGAACATATTCATAACTGCAGTCATATGTCGTTGACAAGTACTTTGTCAAAATGCGAAAAATGTAAAATATATCGATGATTTCCGCTTTTTTTCTTACGAACTGCGGATGCAGTGGTGCAGATGAATTGTGCACTGTAAGGAAACAAAGTTGTCTCTTTTACGATCGATTTGCTACGGCCGGTGTCTTTTTTTATCATCACTGCACTAAAATCGAAACAAAAAAAAAACACACGCATATGACTGAAGTGGGATGAAACGAGCGGGAAACGGAGAGTTTGCAAGTGTTAATTGCATGCAAAAAGTGTCAGCATGTGCCAAAAATTTGCCGAGAGTGAGATTGCCAATTGAGTTTGTTTCGCAGCATTGTGATCGAGTTCGAAGTTTTTCAAGGCATCATCCTTCAGCATATGGCTTGTATGTTTTGTTCGGTTACAAACCGCCATGTGACATGAAAATTAGTTCGATATTTTGCTCCCGCCCGGTCTTATTATTGTTATTACTTTTCTTGGTAGCAAATATGACGCTCGGTTCCTCCCGTTTCCTATCAATTTTTTTTTCCTTTAATTTTCAATTCGAACAAAAATGGTGATTAATAATGAATAAAGAAAAAAAGTTGTAACATTGAACAAGTTTAACCCTTTTTTCATGCGTACAAATTTGAAATGTACCAATCTCTATTAAATCTTATGTAATCAATAAAAATCACGAAAAAAAGACAAGACTAATCGCAATAGGATACGAAAAAAAACGACAACGACAGAATGTCAGACGAAAGAAAATGAAAAACTGAATTTCCTTTATTTCCTTGGCCTCCATATGTTTAATTAAAAGATTATAATGCATTGGATATTTATATGTATATTTCATGGGTATGAAAAGTCGTAGTCGAACGTCGACGCACGACCAACTGTTTTCTTTGTATGTTTGGCTTTGTTTTGTCTCTTTCATTCGAATCACTTGATTTGGCATTTGAAGGTGAAGCAATGAAATCGGTTGGCAATGAGAGGGAGCGAGAAGGAGCTGACGATATTGATGCTAGTTCAGGAGATAATTTGAACACGTGGCATGATTTTACCTTGTGCGCATCACATATGATATTTACAAACTCTGAGCACTTCAGGGTGATCACTGTCTGCACACCATCGAAATGTTTACTACACTCTTTTTCTTTCTTTTTATCTCTCTATCTCTCCTGCTACCTTTCTCCTTCCATCTCTCTTGACGATGATTTGAATAAAATGAACCCGAAGTAAAAAAAACTATAGCAACAATAAACGTTCATTTTAAAATAGGCGCTGCCAGCTACGCAGAAAGGACTCGTCAATATGTTTATTGTATCGCCCGTACTAATACAGAAGAAAAACACACTCGATTCGGGTATTATATAAAAATAATTCATTTTTTGTTCGAATCGTCTTCGAGAGACGAAGAAATTGGAAAATCCCATATGTGATGTTCTTACGAATAAAAGTTTTTTTTTTCGAACTTTAATTTTAATCGAGTAAAAATACGAAGTTTTATTTACAAGGATCATGAAGTTTGGGTTTCTTTTTTGGATGTATGGGCGCGCGATTGAATTGTTGTGTGTACGTTAAACTTAACTAGGAACTTAGTTCCGCATAACACTTCGAGGTTACTTTTTTGTTATTCCTTCGATTTGAACAGCAAATATATAATAGAATGTTGAATCGATTTTTTTCCTTTTGGCCACATGTTACATTTTGAAGACAGAATCATATGTTATTTTTACAATTTATTTCAATATTTTTTTTTTCGCTTTTTTCAATTTTATTCATTCCAATTTTTCTTTTCTTTTATTGTTTAGTTTAATTGTTGTGTTGAATGGCGCGAGCCATTAAAAAATCTTGAAAAATTCAAAACTTTCGGCAGACGGTTGCATATCGATAAAGTTGAAATGTTTCTTTTGAAATGATAATGTGATGCTAGTTTTTCGGTCATTCAGCAGATTCCGAATGAGCTCATAGCCATTTTTCTCGCTTGAACAATGACAAAATGGCATCAAATCGGAATTTATGAATATTAAATGTTTTTTTCGGCAAAAAAATCACACACTTTCATATCGGAATATGCATATTTATCAAAGAAAGCGCAATTGGTAGTCTCTTTGAATTGGTGATCTTTCGAATTCTTTCCGGTGAAAAGCCGGCAGCAAAACTGAAATCATGAACTCAATATTTATAAATTGCTTTGGCAAATAACCTTCCATTAAATGAATTCAAGTAAAGTCCTTTTGTTATTAGGTGTCAATTGTTGTGTGTGGGGCAAATTTCATTTCAATTTCAAGTCACATATTGCCGTGAGAGCCGAGTGATGAATGGTGACAAATAAAAAACCGCCGCTTAACATTTCGTTTGGTCTTTGTTTTGTCATCTCAATAGCACAATGCCAGTGTCAGATTTGACCGAATTTACAGCCAATTATTATTATTATTCGACTACCGGGACTCGAAAATTGTCACGCACGGTTTTTCTTCTTTACTTTTACACTTTTCGTTCGATGTTCTGCTGTGATTTTTGTACATTGCCTGCACAGATTCCGTATCTGACCAAGTGCAGCGAAAAAAATTGGCGACACACGATGGCTGAAGACATCTACCTCGACTAACTGGTAGCTTTTGCCGGTTTTTTTTCAGTTAAAATAACAATTTTGGCCATTTAATTTGTATCCAATATTTATTTTTTTGTATCCAAATTAAACAAGCAACAAATACATATTATTATTATTGTCGCTTGTGCCATCGTATACGCAACATATATTGTTTGAGAATAAGATGTAAACAAATCGGCATACAATAATTGTTTTACAAAATTGTCCTGTCA